TATATTTATATGTTATGCACAGTTATTAAAAGCTTCCTAACTCTATTCGAGAGTGTTAATCCTTTTCCATAACTGTTACAGCAACAGACAAGCACCACGAAAGTCCTTGGGTTGAACCCATATGGTGGCGAAAAAGCATTAATCTCTCACTCCCTCTACATTGGTGACCACTGATAACAAGCGCGCAATAGATAACTGCACTACACTATTTCGCTTCGTTTCACGGTTCGCCTTGATTCGAAAAATTTCACTACAAGAAAAATTTTATTACTTTCAGAAACCTAAGTTTAAAACAGCATCAAAGCTCGAACTTTAGATCACTTTTATGAGCATAACGTTGATTTAGGGTCAATAGCCACATATTAATCATTTTACCGGCTGACCTGAATTTCTATGATCATGTTAGAATTACGGGGGAAATTTATTATTACGGTCTGTCACTGGAAATCTTTTTGCTGCTCACTAACCATAATTTAGTGGTGAAATTTCTTTGAGTGTAAATAAGCATTATGCACATTTCAGTTTATCACAAACAAAAAGCGAAAAATTAAATGTTGACAAAAGAGAATAGACAATCAAACAAATTCAACGAGCTATGACAATGTTTCCATAAATTACCTTTCATTTTCTCACACTTTCCCGTGATCAATCAGTTTTAATTTTTTTTTCTTTGCCTTACTCATTAATGACGAAACAGATTTTTATTATTCATCATTGCGCTTTATCGAGAAATCGAGACCCTTACTGTGTATAATTTATTCATTTCATTTTTGAAAGAATTCTAACAATATAAAGACACCCTTTCATTTTATATTATTTTATTATTACCATTTGACCTTTATTCTTCTTAATTACATAAATAAATTAATGAAGAAATTATGTAAACTTTTATCACTCTGCTGTAAATATTAATTTAAAAAAATTATTGTTGAATTTTTGTTTTGTTTCTGGAAAATTGAAGTTAGCACAAGCAAAACGTTACACAGGGTATAAAAAATACTTACAACATTATCTTATTTGAACGAAGATAAAATTATTTTGATATTTTTTCATTTTAAAATTTAAAAAATAAGTAAAAATGATTATGTTCGCTTTATTTACATTTTTGAGATATTTTACGATGCTCAGTGTTATTGGTAAGTAAACATCTTGATAAATAACAAAACATTATTAACTAAAAGTAGTTCATTTTTATAACATCTTTTATTCTCATAAGAATGTCTAAATAATTAATGAATACAGTTTTTAAAATACTTTGCAAATCGCAAACAATTTTGCACATTTTGAATTAAAGTGCTGCGAGCTACATTTTCAAATTGTTTTGGAGGTAAGCACCATGATTTTTAAATCTATAGGCACTAATTTTTTTGTAAATTGTACTGTTATCTAGTGTAAAATAGGAAAACTTGTTAAGTACCTATTTTAAATAGTACTACTCTAAATAGTACTACTCTAAATAAGAAATTGTAGTAAAACTAGTATCTTCAGAAAATATGTACAGGCATGTGATTTTTCCACTGATTCGCGGAACTCCGCGAATCTCAAGACTGTTGATTCGCGTTGAAAATTTACATTTCGACGAAATTTCCTCCGTTGAAATCCAAATTTCTCAAAAGTTTCCGCCAATCTAATGTTTACATTTAGTAACAATATACGAATTTCGTTTGAGTAATCACTTTTTAACGTGTTCGATTTTCGAGACGATGTGGATAGTTTTTTTTCAGAAATTATTGTTTCGAAATTTTCCGTATTTATTTCTTTATTTGAATTGCGATAATTTTCATGCAATAATATTGCGATCCTCAGAATTTTAATTACGCAATTGACTATTGATTGCTACGTTTTCACCATTTTTTGATCGACCATTGCTTATAGCCACGTGGTTTTTAAGATCCAGTTATTTTTAATAGGATAATATGGCACGAGAAATTCAAATCCAGCTTTTAAATAATCACTTTTTGCTCTCGATTTGCTGCACTACCATCATAGATCCATGTCTCTATCGTTTTTTCGGCAGTGAGATACCTGCAAGTAACGTAGTGTGAGTATCTCGATTCTGATTGGTGGTTTGAAACATGGCATTTGTTTACATTAGAAACTGTTCTTTCTATTCTATTTCGAGTAAGCCAAGCCGGATAAGTATTAATTCTATTAAGTGACACATTCTATATTCTCTCACAAAGATTCTTTCACAAATATTTCCAATATTTCACTATATAATTCTTACTTAACACAAAGATTGGCACGAAACCGTGTAGAACATAAATAAACTAATTGTGCATCGAAGTTGCCAGGTACACAAAACAAAAATATATCATGGTTGCAATTAAATACACAAGCGAATAATAAATCTAAGTTAAGAGAAAGACGTAGACGAAAAATTACATTTCACCAAATTTTATGTGCGATACGGAATTGTATTTAATTAACTTCACGTTAATTGACATTCTAACTTACATGGAGGAACTTTGCTCAACTTTAACACACCATTTTGCTTATAAATGATTACCTGGCGCTGATATCATAGATCACATCTGTGGGTATTCGTGATTTTCTTCTTCGTGAAGTCCAAATATCCAGTTAACGCCTTTGATTTTCACATGGTTTCTAAAGATTTTGATGTATCTCATAAGGTATTTCTGAAATTCAAATTGCTCATCTCAGCATTCACTTTTTGATGCTATGCCATGATCGATCTGTTTTTCAACAGTTGTTGTCATTAATTTCTGCGTGTTTTTGTTTTGTTTTTGAAGCCTAATATTTTTAATGCGATTATATTTATTATGAATGTCGAAACAGGCATTTGAGTAACTCCGTTTAAAGAGTCCGATTTGCGTGATTTTGTCATAAATCAAAGTGGTGTTGTCAGTAATCTTTTTTTTTCCAGCAGGTTCCTTAACGGATTCCACAATTTTTAAAAATTCCTTTTCCATTTATTCATTATGTGACAACTCGCAAATAGGCGAAAAAGGAAAGGAATATGCTACTTTTTTTTCTCAAAGTGCTAAAATATCACCCATATTATTAGAACATGCATGTTGATAAAGAATTTTTTTTCTTCTTTTATTTAAATGAACGAAAATAATCTTCCATGTATGAAAAAGGAATTATTGCACGAATTTAAAAAAAAATTAAACCTTTTTGAAAAATTGTTCCATTTTAAAGAGAAACAATCTAAACATCTTCATTCATCTTTTAGCAATCACATGTTTAAATCTGAATTATCACTATATTGTCACAAGCCTTTCGATTGTTAGTAATTGTGAAAAGCATCATAATTATTTTTGCTTTTCTTATTGTTATTTTATGGTGTATGTTGCCCAATAACAATAATAATAAATTTAATCTTCTGAATGATTAGGTACTGCTTTTCGTTCAACACTTTCAATATGATAGCGTTGTAGTTAGTGGTACTCTTATTTTTTGAGATAACAACAGCATGGTTCATCTGGCGGGAAAAATATGTAACTGGTCATGTCTTTCATGAACACTTACTCATCCTATTCCATTTTGAGTCCAATCTAAAATATGTGGGACATGTTAAAACGCCAATCTCGGCATCCTGACAATTAGGTAGATTTGCAGGATAAAATCCTCAGATTAAACTAGAAACGGCATACTTGAAAAACCTTGTAGAACTCACTTCTTTATCGAATACAGGCTGTTATTAAGAACGGAAGCGAAGTTACTCGGTATTAAATGATGATTTTGTTGATATCTCTAAATATGACTCATTTTTTGACAGAGGAGCTTATATTAAAATTGTCAAATCAGCAGAATGATTGGGAACCAGAGGATATTGATATTCTTTCACATGAACGTACAATTATGGAAAAAATTAAGGTTTTCCTTTGGAACTAATAAATATTTCGGCTACCAAATAGATTTAGGGTAAGAAACGTAGTTTAAATAACAAAAAACTTCAAGTTCAGCAATTAAAAGCAATATTTGCTTTGTTCTCATTAAGCTCTTGGTTACTTTAGGCACAATTCCGTTCGCCAAACCTACTTCTGTATGAGTCGTGTCTAAAAGTGTTGCTATTTAAACTTCTGTTAATTTCTCTAAGCATAAAAACCAATTCATGGGATTATAAAATTATAATAAATTAGAATTATACATAGTTTTCTTTTAAATTTTGATTTAAGAAAAATGAATATAAGTGATCATTAAAAGGAAAATAGCTTAGGTATACAGTGTGTTTCATAAATATCGCATTTAATATATTTTTGTTCTTCTTTTTTTAAAAAAAAAAAATGTAAATATTAATATTTTAAGAGAGAAAAACACAAAAACGTCATTGAAATCTAAAAAAAATTACATCTGATGAAGGCTGGCGTACGAAATCCTAAAACCTGTTTAATTGGGAGAGGAAACCATACAGGAGTTGTAAGAAGAACACCTTCAAGATTCAAGATTTTATGTTTTGTACACCCTCTTATAAGTATGCACTTTGGGTGCATATTTCTTTGTCCTTTTTTTTCAAAAGGGTTCTAAAAAATATGTATTAAGGGTGGTCTTTACGAAATATCTTGTATATTAGAGGTGCTGTTTATCAACGATAACTCATTTATGTAATATTTTAATTTCAAAACTAATTATAAAACTGTTTTAAGGAAAAATACTGTCTAGAACTAGCAAGTTGGTAAAAGTGAAAGAAAGACCGGAGTGAAACTGTTGGATAGGGTTCTTACATGAAATGTGTTGAGTCGTAGGGGAATCATATGTTAAAATCTCATTTGTGTTTGCTAATCCTTAGTGGAGTTAATAGTTTTCTTCCTATTAAACGAAAATTAGGTTAATTTCTCTCAAAATGTCTTTTACAAGGGCAAGTGTTATACTCTGTTTTCTGAGTTGGGTAAAATGTGTCAAAGATATGGAATTTACTTACATTATGTATGTTGGATGTCTAATTTTTGATGATATAAAATGAGAAAAAAAAACACCAAAAGCTTTGTTTTTTATTGTTCTATTTTAACATCTGTTTCTTTTTTCTTTTCTAGTTATGTTATATAACTTGGCCATTAATTTTTTATCCAAAGTAAGAAATTCATTTTGCTTTCTAAACGTACTTCGTTAAACCAGTTAATTGAAATTTACTGGATTAATATTTTATTTTTTATTGGTTGTCTTTATATTATTTATAATAATTTTATTTATAATCATTTCAGGAACTGTACTTAAATATGAAAACATCATAGGAATTTTTAGGGATCATGAACTTCACTAAATAAACTTAAAAACTCGCCACTCTATTTCGATAGAGTTTTATGAGTGGAATTGGTCATTATTAGATCTAATACACTTATTCTGTAGTTACTCTATACATAAAAAAAAAATAGTTTTCATGAAAAAAGAAATAGTTTTATTTTATTTTATAACCGTCGTTGAACAGCCGACCCAATTTTGGGGTTTACGGCTATTAATGTTCAACTCGGTAACCTTGTAATTTCGAACCAATCCATAAGACAAGGAAAACTATGGATCAGTTTCCTCAGAGGTATGATTTGTTATAGGAACATGGAGGACTTCATGACCCGACAGATTTAACGTGCATCAGTCACCATTTACTACACAGGCAGTCTTCTGCCTGCAGGAATTGAACTCACGACCTCTTGCACATGGGCCTAGTGCTCTACCTAGTCCTAAAATTAAAATTGGTTATCCATTCACTGTCACTGGTCATCCTGAATGTATGGCATGTATGGCCGAGGAGCCTGGATCTGTAATGCAGTATTTTTTCAGGAAGTTCAACAGAAATTAAATGATGTAACGACGAGTTTTAGGACACATGTATTGCGTAGCTACCACTACAATCATTCAATTCGTATTCACTAGTATAAAAGACATGTATACTCGATAGTATCTGGAGGCACCTTTAGATAGTAGACACTTGACATTTTCGGTAGCCCAACTCCCCATTGGTAACTTTCGGACGTGATCTGAACACGCCTATCTCAACTGAAACGCCCACTTCAATATGAGCACGCCTACTTTTACTGTGACTTGCTATTTGAGACTGCGACATTGCTCTCCCCGAGTTCTGCTCAATCTCGATCACACACAACAGTGACCTGTACACATTCGATTTCTACTAGCAACATAGGAGGGACCACGCACAAAACCGTGATCTTAATACAGCTCTTGCGATCAACGCTCAAAGTCGGTCTGATCTTAATACAGCTCTCGCCACCAGCGCTCAAAGTCCGGTGGTCTATATACAGTTTTCCCGGCATCTCACTTTTTTTGACAGTTTAGTTATTTTTATGAAATTATAAAAGTAAAATGCTAGTAAATAAAGAAATGGCAAAATTTATTTTAAAAAAAACCGAATTGGTATTTTTTGTCGAATTTTTCTATTTAAAAAAAAAATGACCAAATTCAAAAACTACGAATTATGTTTCTATGATAACTATAATTCTCAACGTTTATAAGAGTACTTTTTCAAAAACTATAATTCAACTTATCTTATTCATTTTCAACTAATGTGTGTGCCAAAAACAAATTCAGAATTAGACTAGATAACACTACAGACCTACAAATTTTAACTGTTTAGCATAAAACCTATAATTTTAAGAGTTTTATTTGAAAAAATGAATTGGTGTTTAAGACTAACGGACATTTAATGCTGCGAAACGACATTATTTTCCAGTCCCCCTAATAATTAGTAGTCTTTCTCCAGTTAATATGCTTACGGCTGCTAATATATTTTATTTATATATTTTCGGTTCTGCCAAAAGATGCTCGATTATTTAGGGGTACTTAACCGTAAAAAATTGGGAACCACTGGTATAGGGAAAACTGTAGCGGATAAGTATGTTGGAGATGCAAGCAGAAAAATCAAGTCGCTATGTACTTACATTAAGTTTTTACTTAAGTTAACCGGTTTTAAAAAATTTCAGTGTAATTTTTTAACATTTTGTGTAAGGATATAGCAATAATATAGTACAGATAATTTAACACATCATGTTAATGTTAAGCAACTTATTTTGTTATGATCTACTTATTTCTAGCCAGCCCTTACTAGCCAACTCTTATTTGAGGCTTGTAGGGTGACCCGGGGTAATTCACGATCACTCTGTTTCTGGGGTAAATAATGATCACCTGAGTTTTATTTAAAAAAAATAATATTTTTTTTAAATTTGAGACATGGAAAAGAATGCTTGTGCACTTTACTAAAGTATAACTACATTTACTTAATAACATTTTTTTGTTTAATCTAACAAAATAAGTATCTTTTAAAATGCTTTCTGTATTTTCCATTTCAAAGATGGGCTTCAAAATGTGCACATTTCTGCAAAGATCCCCCTCCTTCTCTTAATAATAAATATTTTGAGTTACTTTCTTTTTCTTTGATATAAAAATAGTGTAAGCTTTTGTTTAATTGTTTCACATCTACTGTAAACATTATAATTGATTATAGGAAACTATATCAAATGTTGCCCCCTACAGATGGGGTAATTATTGATCACTGGGGTAATTCCTGATCATTGTCATTTCTTCTTATAAATAGTATAAAAAATAGCTAATAAATAGTCAATTGTCTTTTCTTATATAACAGTTCATATTTATTAAGTGGAACAACTATAAAATATATTTTAACTATAATCACAAAATTTGTTTTTAACTGTATACAAAAAAAAATGTGTTCTGATATGCACCATTTCTAGCTTGTCTTACCTTGCTTCAGTCTTAAATTTATGTGTGTACATTGTTAGAATAATTTTTAAGTTGATAAATTAACTTAACATAAATATGGTGAGAAATTATAAGCTTAAAAAGGATACTAAGTTTCTAGAAAGCAAAAATGTGAATTTCTTTTAATGATTGAAAATGAAAATTTCAGTGTGAGAGCTGCTGCCAGAGCTGAAAGTGTTAATCTTTATTCCTGATTTCAAATAAACAGCTTTATTAGCTGCTTAAACATATCTTTTTGGTTTATTTGTTTGATCTTAATTACCATTGTATAGTTATTTTTAGACAACCCATTTACTATGAAAACTGGTGATCAGTAATTACCCCAGAAATGATCAGGATTTACCCCAGAATTGATCAAGAGATGGGGTAATTCCTGATCACTAAAAATTTAAAATCTTTTAAATTCTAATTAGATTTTTAAACAAAAGAAGGTAGCATAGGACTCATCTCAAATAGCCTCAAACTTCCAGAAAATATTAAAATTCTATCTTGAATAGTTTTTTCACAAAATAGATGCTTGCATTTTTTGATCAGGAATTGCCCCAGGTCACCCTAATAACTTTTTCAGATTCATTATGGAAGTCGCAGGTTCTTATTGTGTGAACTAAATATTTCGACATGTTATAATTTTTTTTCTAAGATTACGGTGAAATAACCAGCAGCAGTCTCACCATCCAATTAGTCGTTGAGTTTTACGGTAAAGAGTATTTTTTACCCTTACGGTTTTGAAACTGTTACGTGTAGTCTCGATTTTTTAACCATTTACAACTAGTATGGCTTCAAAACCATAAAAAAATTTAAATTTGCGTTAGAGCTAGGCTTTTCGTTGGGTAATGGGCGTTATGTGGTGGTTGAGTTGTGTTTCATCAAATGAAACGTAGAATGTGGTTTAATTAATTTATCTGGTTGCTTCGTCTATCATATGTGAAAAGAAATACTAGACTTTTCGTGTTAAACAGTTTCATGGTGCTGCCATCTATGTGTGAATGAGAGTATCGTATTCTAATACTCTAGAATCAGAAATTAGGGAGTACAGGACACTGGAAATTATTCATGCGTTGAAGGGAATGGTGAAAATATTGTGGCGTCAACTCTGGGTCTCGAACCCCCGTTTTGACAGATTACCCCTTTCGGATATAATATGTATCCAGCTCCAAGCAACGAAGTAACTTCATTAGATGGAACTAGCTAATCCGATGAAATTCTGGTTATTTAACCGTATTTGGTTAAAGCAGATAATGAACGGTTTTCTAACAGTTAACAGTTTGAATACCATCTTATTTGTGTTTATTGATACCATCTTATTTTGTTATTTGACTGTTTTGCTTGAATATGGTAAGATAACAATTAAAGAAATTGTTATTTAACAATTTTTTCCTAGAAATTTCAAACAATGTACTTTATTACGTATTTGACTGACTTGTAAATTTAATTATTAACCTCGCTTTCAACAGATTTTGAAAATTTTAATTCCTGAACATATATTAAATGCTACAAAATTGGATCAGAATATTTCCCTAGAAGATATTGCAGTACAGTTAATGGAAGTGCGAAAGATCTCGCAAAAGGTACTCTTATAGCATTTGTTTTTAATTGAAAAATTATATCTTGGAAAGTCTTTTATGTAAATATTGCCTTGATTCAATCGATAATTTGAAACAAAATTTTATTCATCTTTGTAATGTGTTAAATTGGATCAGGATTGAACAATATTAATGAACAAAATTTCCTGTAATTTTTTTTTATAATGTGTTAAATGAAACCTGAGTCCCCAGGATTCCAGTTGAATCGAATTTTTATGTTCTAAAGTTTAGGAAGTTTTGTATCCTTCATGGGACGCTTAAAGAAATTTTGTTAAATTAGATTTTTACTTGCTTAGATGCAATTTTAACCCAAGAGGCTAACCATCAACATTTTAATTAATTACCTTTTTTTAACGGATTTGGATTCTTAATTCTAAAATTGTATGGGTAGCTGCAATTCGGAAAATAGAGGTCCAGTTTCTTAGGTAAGAGTGTAGTAAAAAGTTTGAACCCCCTTTAATTCCATTTTTCATGTAGATAGAACATATAGAAACTATTATAGGGAATCAAATATTTTTTGCACACAATTCTAAAACTAGTTTCTCCAAAGATAATTTTGTACAAAATATAACTAGCAATCAAAAATACAGGGTTATTCATAATTCCCTCCGCCTGTAAACGCCATTTTTCTTTACTGCAACTGGCTTCAGTGGTACATGTTACTGCCATCTACCGGCAACTGATTAAATTAAAACTTGAATGCTTTCGGAATAATTTCATATGTTCTTTCTTGCCATATTCGTCTTCGTTTTTTTATTATAACTCTTCGAAACCCCGGAGGGAATTATGAATAAGTTGTTACTGGTCCACTAGAAAGCCTGAACTGTCCCAATTACTCCTGAACTTTTTCAATTCCGCCTTAAATTTCGCATTGTCTACTAGTGGGCATTAATTCCCATTTTGGCAATCTGCGTTTACATTTGAGTATATTTAAATGCTTGCAAAAAGAATTAGTAAGAATGAAAATTGGTTATTAATTGTAATAAAATATAATCAGTAAATCAATCAGATCGGTTGAAGAGAAAAAATCTGCCATGATATGTCATGAAAAAGGAGGATCGATCTAGCAACATAACTCCATATCAAAATTCAGATATTTCCCAGTTGGCGCCATTACTTGTAAAGATTTCTTTTGCTTAGTAGGTTGGCGAGAACTAATACTTTTGCAAAAAGAATAGTTTTGCAAAATTAATTATTAACGAGTCATAGGTTACAGGTTTCTTATCCTATAGATTTAAAAATATGAATGCACATGTATGAAGAATATATTATTGATCCAAATATTTTTATTAATGAAATATCTTGCTACCAGAGATATTAAAAGAAACAACCAAGCCTTACTGAAAATACTGCTTAATAGTGGAAAAAAACCATAGCAGATGGTGTCAATTTTAAAAATTTAATTTCCATTCCAATCATTGAGAAAGCTAAAGGAAAGGTAAAAATGCTTCCAAGGCTTGTCTTTTTACGAAACTCAAATCAAAAGTGTGTGAAACAAAGTTATCACTCATCACAAGGAGCGACACATAGTTATCTATTTGCTAAAAAATCAAGCAAAATGCAATTTAAAAGGATATTTTTCCCCATGCCTGCCAGGAGAATGACCTTTCGTCATACAAGCATCTGAAGGGCAGATTTGTTGGCCACTCTTTCAGGGGTACCCTATTAGGTGGGCCAACGTTCCTCCCACAGTAAGGACATATCGTACAGAGAAGGAAAGAACCTTCCTGCCTTGCCTGAAATTCGAACCCAAAACCTTTCTGATACAAGGCTCGTTCCCTGACCCCTACACAAGCCGGACGGCAATTAAAAGGATATTTAAATTCAAATAAATTAGGCCTAAGGAAAAATTTAATAAATAACTTTAAGAGACATTATATTGCAGGGAAATTGAATGAATCATTCACATCTCGTTAATTAATTTTTATTATAGGTATGCAATTTTCTTAAATAACTAATTTCATAAAAAGTGTGGAGAGAAAAATATTCAATTAATAATATTTATCAGTACTAATTACATAAAAAGGCTGGAAAATATGTAATGTCTATTTATTTAATAAAAATTCATTCTGAACTCTAGGTATCGAATGAAAAGGATATCCTGAAATCCATCTTTTTAGTCAACGATGATTTTCTTCAACAGACGCATAAATGTTTTGTAGATATTCAAGATCAGATAAGGAGTCGGTTCGAAGCAATTGGCAATGAAAATAAAGCCAGGTATGACCAAGTTCAAGAAATGGCACTGAATCTAAGGGAGGAAATATCAAAGTTAAAAGTTCAAGTGGAACAGACTGATGAAATTTTGAAGTCACAAAAATTCGGTCAGTTGGAAGAGGAACCGTCCAAAAGTTGCAAGGATTGTGCTGAAGCGTTTGCCCAAACAGAAGAGAGTTATGAAATCGTACCGAATGAGGTAAGTTACTGGAAACTGAAACCCTTCATTTTAACTTAGATACATAAATGCATGTTTTAAAATATATAAATTGAAGACAGCAGAGAATAAAGGCATGTTTTAAAATATATAAACTGAGGACAGCAGGGAATAAAGGCATGTTTTAAAATATATAAACAGAGGACAGCTAGAGAAAAGACATGTATCTGTGAGAAAAGTTTCAGATTGCCGCATAACAGCTCCAGAACTAATCTTGATGTTTCATATTTCGCGAATATTTTTTAATAATACAATAATTCAGTTTACATCAAAGCAGGTTTAAAATATCTCTTATAGACTAAATATAAGCTAAGAAGAAAAAGGCCCAGTTAAAATAACGAGGAAAAGGGCCCTAAATGCAAGTGCAGTCTGCATCAGTAATAAAAGAACTCCATAAAGTCCCAATTTAACAGATCCCATTGCTATCTTATAATCTAACACTGGGACCCATTGAAATTTTGTGAGATTAAAATTACATAAATGTTTATTAATAATTTAGAATACATTAAAGTATGTGGAACGCGTTGAACACAAAATCATGAGTACTTATTTACGAGACATACTACAGTTTCAGTACCATGTGCATTTTCCAACTGTCTAACGATGATGTTTGTTATGGCTCCACAGAGCATGTTTGTCGTTTTCGACTATTTAATATATGCTTTATGTGCGGGTTGTATTAAACTGTTATGTAATTCGTTTCGCTTACAACAGAATTCTCTATATCTATGTAAATTTAAAGTGTTATGAGTTTGTTAACTGTTTATTATTATCATTACTATTATTATTATCATCATTACTATTATTATTAATAATATTATTATTGTTATTGAAAAAGAAAGATATATTCCACCGTTTTGTCTTGTGTGTAACACATGCAGTGAGTTAATAATTTAGACAACAAACATTTCGTAAATATATCGTTATAGTAAACATGAATGCACAAAATTTGCGCTTATTTTCGTATTTATAAGAAAAACTGTCCAATGTCCAAAAACTTATAATTTATATAACATAATTTATGTATAACATTATGATTTATATAACATTATATTGCAATTTATATGTATTAAAAAGTTAAAATTTATATATAATACATAATAATTCATATTATTTATATTAATATGTATTTGAATTATAACTTATTGCCTTGTTGTTGAGTTGCCCAAAAGATGCTTTAACTCAATTGATTTTAAATTGAAATAAACAGAAACCCTTTTTTTTGTTTTGTGATTGTGATTTTAAATTGTTTCAATTTCAGAAATGAAGCGTTTTCATTTAATTTATTAAATATGCGTGGAAAAATCTTTATTATTTTGCAATTTTTTAGGTCTCAGATTGCAGTCTTTCTGAAGAGGAACTAATGTCATTGAAACAGGGCGTCTCTATAGCTATGATTGAATCAGAAAAACTTTGCAAAGACGCCATTCTTGGAATCTTCAATAACTTTGAAAAAGAATATGAAAGTATTAAAGCACTTATAGAAACTAGCTGGGATGGCATAAATGAAGAAGTCGCCAACTGCGGTTCTGTTCTTGACAAGGTGCATAACATCGAGCAGACTGTTTTCGGGGTACTTATTTTCTTACAACAGCAGTCTGTGGATGGACAAACAATCAAAGAAACACTTAAATTCTTCGATCACAAATTAAAAATATCTATACAGAAGATTGAAGCTCGTGCGAACAAAAATAATTTGTGTCTTCAAGTTGCCTTTGACAGTTTGCAGAACGCGCATGCTGTTTTAAATGTCAGCACTTTAGCGTTTAAAGATATATCGATGGATGTTGCTCAAAAGTTGGATTGCTTGAGCAAGATGGTGTCGCAGTTTGGGTACACCGCAAAGCTGTTAAATGATGCCGAGCACTTAACGTTCTTAATGGAAAAAAGTATCTGTGAATTGGTATTGAAAGCGGCAAACCTGTCAACAAAAATCAATGGTGATTATTGTTTTAAGATTAGTAAATTATCGGAAGAACTGCTAGCTCCAGGAGAAAATCTGTATGTTTTTTGCAAGACCTTGGAAGATTTGCATACTCTTACCGATGGATTGAAGTCTCAATCCCATCACAATTCTTTGGACACAGAAACAGCCAATTTGGAATTTAAGCAGCAGCCTATTGGGAATTTGACACCGGATGATAAAACAGGTGAGGTAGGTGAGGTAAAAATCTGCAATGACAGTCTTCACAAGAAACTAAATCTAGATACTAATACAAAGTTTTGCTGAAACACTGAACGAAATTCTGACTGATACTGAGCATAACGAAAATTCGAAATAAATATGTAAGCGTAATTATTTTTCTTCTGAAATTCATCTTTATTTTTAGTTTTTTAATTGAAGGGCTTAGTTAAATAACATGTTAAGACATAGTTCATACACACTTGGAAAAAATTAAAGAGTGGTATTAATATTAACATAATTTTTTTATGAGAGAGAGAGAGCGACACTTGAGAAAATGTTTTCAAAATATCAAAATACAAATAAATTTCTGCACGATAACTACCTAATATTAAGTAATTATACCATAATTTAATAGCAAAACTATTTATCAGTATTTGAAACTTCATGCCAAGGTACAGCGATCTGTTAAAGATTAGTAAAAGTCAGCTTCTGTCTGGAAAAAATTAAAAACGTAAAAAACCCGTCAACAAAATATCTTTTTCTGTTAAAAATTGACTACATAACCAAGCGATTTTTAATGAAATAGGTATTTTATAAATGAATTTTTGATGTTTCGAAACAATCGAAAGCTGATTTTCATATCTAGCCAATTATAGAGAAAGACTATAAATTCCAAATTTAAGATAAAATAAAATTAAAGCTTCGGCTTATTAGGGTTCTCTTAATAGTCTCCACCGTTCCATGTCGAGAAGTTGCAGTTCAGTTACAGGCATGCTGCCTAATTTGACAACGAAAGGAACTTAAACAGTTCATTTAACGACTTCTGGAAAATTCTCGATTTTTTGAAAATAAAATGAAACTTTTGTCTAAAAATAATTTTACAAGCAAATCCGTCACAGTCTGTCACGAACGGTGAAATGCATCTCAGAAAATATAATTATTACAAAAGGGGAAAAAAACACTGCTCTGGACTGATTAGAATGTTGTTTGCTGAGTATTAGGGTTGATTTGGCAGTCAAGTTTTTAACTACATGAATATCACTATCCTATAATTGTAGATTTTATTCGTCACATCAAATCGAACATACCTCAAGAAAGACCAAACGTTATTTAACTTTATACTCCTGACATTATTCTGCCTAAATTAATGTTAAGAAATTCTTTGCAACGCAGGTGATCTTTCATTTAAATTTAAAATATCAAATGGTTAATAATACAGCAGTTCACTTTTTTTATATAGTTATCGCATAGCGTATGTTGAAAGTAATTATACAAAATAAATACAAAAAAAAATGAAGTCAATATTATTCTCTAACATGTTCTTGAAGCTCATTTCAAAACAATTTAAAACATTTTACGATTTTGATGTGAAAAGGGATGAATTTAAGTAAAAATTATTTTTCAGAAATTCGTTTCTAGGGATTTCTAAAGATAAAAACACACAATTCCATTAACAGTGGAGTGCAGAGATGTTTGGACAAACACCTCGGTTAGAGGTTATGTTAAAGGCCTCTGAAAAGAGAAGTTTAACCCTTTGTAATCTGATGTCCACTCCATCCTGTACCACACTGAAACTCACTAATCTGAAATTTAAAATTTTTGTATATTTAGTAACCACATTATTTATGGTCTTAAGTTACAATATAAAAATATTATTTCAAATATTTTAGCGCTTTAAATTTGTTTAAATAGCATATTTGAATGCTTGAGCGGCAAAAGGTTAATCATTGTAGGAGGAGGAAAGTCTAATAATGTTAAAAAGAAAATTGAAATAAATACTTTGAATTTCTATTTATGTATTGTCAATGTAAAATAGTCTGAGTGTAAAAACTGTTTTTTCCAACAAACTAATCTTAATTTTCTACAATCTATCTATCTATCTATCTATATATATATATANTATATATATATATATATACATTCGAAATTTTTCACGATACACTAATATTGATTGATTTCTCGTAATAATTTTTATCATTACTTATTGTTAATTATAGGTATATGCAATGTACAGTGCACAAAAAATGAAATTAAAGTGAACAATTTAATCAATTTTGATCTACTGATCCAATTTTTTTTATGAACTATAGGATTCAATCTTAACGATTAACTAGTCTAAACTTGAATATGCTTATTAGTTTATGCAGATGATATTTAAGTTGCAGAATCAGGCTCAAAAATGTGCTTAAAAATAAAATAAAAATTTAAGTTTGCCTTCTTTTTGAAGAATTTTGGACTTATTCTTCGAAATAGCCGCAATCTGAAAAAATATAGTGCCAATCGAGAGGAGAATGGTCAAAATTTTATACTTCGTTATGTTAATTTCACTTTTTGCATATTTTACCATCTCAAGGAAGACACTTTTTTAAAATTTTTATTCTGCAGGAACTTTCCTACCAATTCCCTTCAAATTTTAGTCATTGTAATTTAAAATTGCGTTGATTAAGCTGACGTAAAAATGTTTATGTATGTGCAAAGAGTTAAATTAATTTTAAAGGACTTGACATTCGACTGCTCTCCTGTTTGTACTATTTAGACTAGATTTTTCAGATTGCGTCTACCTGCTTTACTATTTTGAGGGTCGAATGACTAAATCCGTTGAAACAAAAATATAGTTATTCATAGAAAGTAAGTTTTGAATCTGATTCGATAGCTTAGAATATTGTCAGCACTAACTGATTACTCTATTTAAGGTCAGGCCTTCGAACCATTAAAATTGAGTTCTAATACGTAAAAGTCCGATCATTTGATCAAACGTATTTAAAATGTTCATTTTTCGTTTTTTTTTTCATTCGTATAGTTTTGAGTAATAAAGGATCATAAAGTTATCAATCACTGAATATTTCCTTGCGACCGACATTCAAAAATTAAATATTTATTCCCGCTTATTTTTATTTATTCATTTGTTTTGTCTCCTTTAAGCCATTTGAAAAATTACTTCCTTAACATGCTGATTCAATTTTAAGGTAAATATAGCATTTATCTATACTAGTCTTGATTGTTACCTCATTTCTTTTATTAGGTAGACACAGTGGAAAAAAGTTTTAAAATCGCACTGTATAATATTAGCCAGGACTACCAGATGTAAAGTTATAGGTCATTGACAAGTAGATCAGACATTCGAATTGTATAAATTAGCTTTTGAGTAAAACTACATTTGGCATTCTCGTTCTTTTTTCCTTTCTGTACATAATATTTATTCGTCATGATAAATCATGGCATTTATTCATATTGCATCATATTTATGTATTATACCACATTTATTTATGCATGATGAGTCGTTATATTTATTTATACTTGATAAATCATTACATTTATTTGCACTTTGCTTCATATTTACTTATTATACCGCATTTATTTATTATACCACATTTGTTTATGCATGATAAGTCGTTATATTTATTTATACTTGATAAATCATTACATTTATTCGTAGTTTGCATCATATTTATGTATTATACCGCATTTATTTATGTATGATGAGTCGTTATATTTGTTTATACTTGATAAATCATTACATTTATTTGCACTTTGCATCATATTTATTTATTATACCACATTATTTATGCATGATAAGTCGTTATATTTATTTACACTTGATAAATCATTACATTTATTCGTAGTTTGCATCATATTTATTTATTATACCACATTTATTTATGCATGATAAGTCGTTATATTTATTTACACTTGATAAATCATTACATTTATTCGTAGTTTGCATCATATTTATTTATTATACCACATTTATTTATGCATGATAAGTCGTTATATTTATTTACACTTGATAAATCATTACATTTATTCGTAGTTTGCATCATATTTATTTATTATACCACATTTATTTATGCATGATAAGTCGTTATATTTATTTATACTTGATAAATCATTTCATTTATTCGTAGTTTGTCTCATATTTATGTATTATACCACATTTATTTATGTATGATCAGTCGTTATATTTATTTATACTTGATAAATCATTACATTTATTTGCACGTTGCATCATATTTATTTATTATACCACATTTATTTATGCGTGATAAGTCGTTATATTTATTTATACTTGATAAATCATTACATTTATTCGTAGTTTGCATCATATTTATTTATTATACCACATTTATTTATGCATGATAAGTCGTTATATTTATTTATACCTGATAAATCATTACATTTATTCTTATTTCGCCTCATATTTATGTATTATACCACATTTATTTATGCATGATAAGTCATTATATTCATTTACACTTGATAAATCTTCTATATTTAATATTTGCATCATATTTATTAAATATACTACATTTATTTACGTCTAATAAGTCGGCATATTTATTTAAGTTTGCATCATATTAATTAGGCATCATATCAATTTGTTTTCTGACATTTATTTATGCTTTATAAGCCATCATTTTTTTTATGCTTACATCATATTAATTGATTATTACACTCATTAATAAGTCATCATGCTTATTTATGTTTGCATCGTGTTAATTTATTATATCATACTTGTTTATGCTTTTTACGACATAGTATTTATTTATGCTTGCGTAAAATTAGCTGGGCTACATGCTAATTTGCGTTTCTCACATTAATTTATGCTTATTGCATCATATTTATTATACCTCATATGAAATTATTACCTCACATTTATTTATGCTCGATAAGGTATTATATATGAGCGTAAAACTGGAGAAAAGAGGGGGGGAGAGGTGAGTAAGGAACTTTTTGTTGAATAATATACTGTTCAAGTTTGTTTAAAAGATTCTTATAATTAGCATCCAAGCGTCAAAATTTTTTTAAAAACACAAATTATAAATGAACTTTTCTTCCAACAATAAAATTGATTTCTGCTTTAAAAACTGGGGAGTTTACAAAATTTCATGTCAATGCGGACTTTTATACTTGGTGCAAACTAAACGAGCATTCAAGTATCGTCTCACTGAATATCGAAGCTACATCCAGAATCATGAACTCGACAGCTCATCCATCGTCTATAGCAAAACAGTGTCCGAGACAGAACAAAAGGCCATGGGTTCGATTTTCCTCTTACGTTCTTAGTTCGATTTTCTCTCTAATATTAATAAATGTTTATCATGCGCTCACCCGGATTTCTGGGAGAGTTTCCATATCAACAAAAACAAGAACTTTTTTGTTATAGATCTTAGCTTTACTATACATTTCAAATATTTGGTAATCATTATTTTTTGTCAATGTTTAATTTTTACCATCAACTTTGTTACACTTTTGATTGTATTTTTATCTCTTTATTATGACCCTTGTTGAGTGTCAACATGTCAGTTTTAGAGCTCTGACGATAGCCCTACTGAAGAAGGAATGACTGTGCAATATCGAAACGTGCGTAGACTCTAATAAAACTTTACGATTTGTGGTTTTCAATCGCTTTTTTTAATCAGATTCAATTTTATTACAAAAGATTATCCTCATTGTTCTATCAAGTGTTCAGCCTTCGCCCTGAGCATCTCGATCGACCCATTTTTACATCCCATTTTATCTACTACATGGATTTGCCAATCACAATCTCTGAAATAAAACTCTCACTATTGGTGATTGAGCGATTCTTTAAGCCGTATTGCGTTTATTTTGAGAATCATTTCGTCAAGATATCACGTGGTTTGGGACGAGGCGTGAACTCTCAAATATATGACAAAAGTGTTTTCTCAACTCGGAACCTTAGTACATTGTGTAAGACATTCATCTTAATACGTTGTAACTAGAATGACAAATTTAGAATGAAGACTAGACGATCTAATACCAGAACTAGACTGGCGAAATAAGCCAAGCGGAGTGTAATGTTGTCATAGAGTTGGCTTTATACCAGGAAGATCCCAGGTTGGTTCGAAACCCGATTCGGACGTGAATGTAATTTTATCTCACTGTTCCATATGTCATTCTTGTGTTGTTGGGGCAACGTCAATCCACCTATGTGGTGTCCATGGAAAGGCTATGAGGAGACACCCGTTGGAAACTATAAGGCACCATTTTTCATTTATTAGTTTGTTTTTTTAAAATAATAAAAAAAAAATTTCACTTTGAAGGAATTCGTTTCCTTTAAGAATTGATTATAGTTATTTCACGCCTCTGATGAAGTGATCGCTCGGAGAATATAAAAGGAAACCGTTTAGTCAAAAACGAAGTAAGTTTCGTGAAATTCGAGTATCCATTTTTTTTTTACAGTACATCAATTTCGCAAGCTTCCTATCTACAACAACAATCGTAAGCGACGACCACTTTGGTGAGCAAATAATAAGCATTGAATCTGTAAAAATTATAAGTTAAGAGTGTTATCAAACAGCTTGTTGATGTCTTTTAATCTTGCTTGCTTTTTCCGATTCTTTAAGAATTTACTTGAAACCTTTACTTCAACAACAAAAAACATACAAAAAAGTTATTTAAGTGTAAGTATCTAACTGGGTACTTGAACTTCAAGAAGATCACAGTTACTCACACATGTGAACTATGACGTCAGCTCCAGTTGATCTTTTCTAAGCAAAATGACGTGTTAAAGCTTTTCCTCCTAAGTCAGAATGCTAATTAACGTGAAGTTAATTAAATATAGCGCCGTATCGCTCATTGAATATGTTGAAATATAATTCTTTCTCGTCTACATCTGTTACTTTACTTAGATTTATTATTAGTTTATGTGTTTTATTGTAACCATTATATATTATTGTGTTCTGTACCTGGCTACTTCTATTCATAATTAGTTTGTTTATGTTCTACATAGCTTCATGTCTGTCTTTGTGTTAAGAAAGAAATATATAGAGAAATAATTTAAATCTTTGTGAAAGAATCTTTGAATGTGTCCCTTAAGATAATCGATACTTGACGAGCTTGGCTTACTCGAAATAGAATAGAAAGAGCATTTTCTAACGTAAACGAATGCTACGTTTCAACAACCAATCAAGATCGTGATACCAACACTACGTCACTATCAGGTATCCCATTTCTTAAATATTTATAACAATCGCTCATGCACTTGATCGCATCTTGTCAACCTGAAAAGATGGATTTCACATAAGAGCTATCTTAGATTTATTGTAACTATTGTAATAATAAAGTTAAACAAAGCATTATTGGAAGTGCATCAAAAACAAGAGTCCGGGATATTATTCATTATTTTTTTAAATTATTATAATTATTTTGCTGAATTGTGAGCATTAGTTTTACCTTGTGAATTTATTAAGGAATGAAAACTTATGCTTTATCAAAAAATCAGTTCTTTTTATTTTTTATTTACTTACTTATTTATTTTATTTATTTTTTTTTTTGTATATAAATAATCATAAGAATGAGTAACATAATAGCTATCATAGTTTTTAAAAATTAAATATTTCACAATAGTTTTATCCTTTTTGAAGTTATACTTCTTATGCGACTTCCAACAAGGTTGCGTTAAACGTTTAACGCTACATTTTTATTGGCCGGGAAATCACGTGGTACGTCTTTAATGTAGCGTGTAGCATTGTAACGTTCTTTCTTTAATGTGGCTTAGTAAATTTAAAAAAGAAAAATGTTTGATATCCTTTCTTATACAACCGAAAACAAGATGGTATCTCTTTTTTTTTAAAAGAAGAAACATCCAAAACACATCTGAAAAATATTAAAGAATATGCATATGCATGTAAAAGAACAGAAAAAAATATGCATCTTCTTATTAGAGTTAAAACCTAATGCCTGAAAAAAGGGTTTACTAAATTTAATGATATAACCTGAAAGGCCAATTTAAACTTTACATTCCATAGTTTTAAGAATCATATTACTTCGAACATTAAAATAAGCAAAAATTATACATAAGCTTCATAATTTTATGTAATTTAATTTTGTAAATAAAGTTTTTTGACAAGTAATTTTATCAAAAAATTTTAAGTTTTAATAAAAATCATTATTTAGAAACTGAAAAACGTAAAGTAAAGAATGCTTACGATACAAAACAAAAAAAAAAAAATTTCTAAAAATTCCTTATATTAAAATAAACAACTTTCATGTTTTTTCTTTTTTGATTCATAATCGGACGTAGAAAACCATTCTATAGAAAACTATCATCAAGAAAAAAACTACTTAAAAGTAAAATTTTTTATTTTATAAAAATTAACACTTACCTGCTTTATAAATCAGAAGAATTCCAAAATGATTTGTTCTTCGATTTTTGTTACCATTTTTTAGTGCTACGAAAATGCGTCTTTGGGATTTGCCAAAAATAGAACAAGATGCAATTTTATTTTTTCTGGAGCGAAATATTTTGCCCATTGTCCACCGAAATCCGATAAACTACTTTGATTTTAAATAAAGTGTTTCGTTTTATGATTTGTCACAAAAATTTTAGGTGTAGATTGGCGGCACTTAAAAACAGCCAAATCTGTAGCTGCTGTGGCGTTAATACATAAGTACCGAATTTTTATTCATACTTTTCTGAATCATATTACTTGAAACATTAGAATATGCAAGAAGTATACATAAACACATAATGTTATACCATTTATGTTTTCAAAAAAAGTATTTTGACAACAATTTTTATCAAAAAATTATAAACTATAAAACGGAAAATAAAGAATTCTTAGGATAAAAAACGATTTTAAGAATTCTTTACATTGAAATAAAAACTTTCATATAGTTTCTTTTCTTATAGTTCTTAATCAGACGTAAGAAACCATTCTGTAGAGAACTATCATCAAATAAGAAAAAAAAGTTTTACAAACAAATTTTTTACTATAAAAATCATAACACTTACCTTCTTTATAAATCCGTAGAGTTCCAAATGAAATGTTCTTCGTTTGAAAGTTTTATTTTCAAATAATGTGTGCATAGATTATCCCTTTATTACTTTTAGATAACATACCACACATCAAAATTTTATAATTGTAAGATCTCGATATGAATTTGAATATGTAGCTTAAAAACAGAACAGCTGAATTCTAGTTGAAATTATCTATTCTTTCAAAACTAAGAAATACTTACCAAGAAAACGATAAAAAATTTATTAATCATCAGCACAAATGACACTATTTCAAGTAATTTGGTTGATTCTTTATTGTTGTTTTCCGAATTATATAGATACAGAAATATATACTGTTCTATAACAAAGAAGAATTCTATAACTATTGCAGTTCTTGACGTTCTGAATTCACATTTCTTTATTGGAATGACGAAAGCAATGTTGACTTCATTTTAATTTGTAATGAATTGAAGACAGAAAAAATTATTTTACCGTAATATACACATCTGTAACAGCAAGTGATCATGAAATTGTAAGTTATGTTGTTGGTAATAGAAAGGTAAAAATTATTGAGAAATTGTTCTTCAAATGCTTGGCGTGTTCTGCTTCAATGTTTGGCATGTTCTGGTTAGTTTTTTCAAGTTCTTCAGCTGTTCCTTAGGGAAATTTTGATTTTTATTTGCTGCTAAGAAAATGGCGTCCGTCATGGCCGATGATTTTGATGGAACTAAATGAAAACGTGATAAATTAATGTCTGATATTTACAGGCTCCCGATAGAGGGCGTACTCGAGCGTTGCGATCGCGAATTGTTTTTCTATAAATATTTTTTTAGTTTGTTTTGATACACATATAATTTAATAGGGTAGTATTTTTTATTTTCAAATTTAGTGGATAACAATTGTAAAAAATGAGTGAAAACAATCCCACGGACAATGCGACGGATTTAAGGTTATGTCAAGGTACGTCTCTTGTGAATATCAATTGATTGTTAGGTTTTCTCTTTTGAAATTACATTATGACGCATTCACATGCATTATTAATGCAAATACATTTTCCATGGCGAGACGATGAGGCAACCACAAGCATTTCCACTGGCTCAAGAGGGGAAAATGCATAATATTACCGTTATTACAGAGCACGGAAGAGAGCGGAGCAGGAAAAAGAGTCGTTGAATAGAACTCGTGATTCTTCTACGACTGCTGATTCTTCTACAATTAACGTCGCAGGTAACGAAGTTTAACTTCTTCCGCGCGGAGGGACTTCACGCACTATTTTTTTTTGGGGGGGGGGGGTAATAAATACTTTGAATAGTTAATATTATTTTTGAAGACAAAATAAAAAGTAATATAACCCTGTATTCCTAAGATTCTGGCGAATATGATGCTATTTCGATAACTCCATATTAAGCCTTCGGAGAATTTTTTTTTGTTTCACATCTTTTCCGTAAATTTTGGCTTTCAGCCAACCACAAATTCTTTCCTGAATATCGTAATTCTCTAACTATGTTAGATAGAAAAACTCTAGTTATGAATAGATGAATTAGCACGGTCATCAATTTTTTTCAGAAAACAATCATATCAATGGGTGACATAAGCGTGAATACATAAAGAATTATTTACACGCATTCAAAGGTAAAAAATTTTCAAATTGTCAAAACAAATACAATTCTTAAAACTAATTCATGTCTTTATTTTAACATTAATAAGAAAAAAATTTGCAAAATTTTTTATCAAAATGTGCGCTTGTGAATCTAGCGACATCTCAATTGCAATAGTGTCTATTTTAGGTAAGTGAGTATTTAAACCAGTTATGAGTGTGTATAAGTTATAAAAAATGCATTTTCAAAATATTCATTAATTTAACTGACAAATAAAGTAATTATCCTCCATACATTTGCTTAGAAATTATAACCTTATTATAAATTATAAATTTATTTTCTTGGAAACTTTACGACCGTAGTTGAATATAAGAACAGCTTTGAAACATATGTCGTTTAAAATTTCAATCCATCTGCTTATACTTGTAATTTTACTTCAGCTAATCATTCTTCATGAATAAATATGCATAGATTTGAATAATTTAAAAAAGAAGATCCATTTAAAACCGTTGTCTTATAGCAGTCTCAGTGACTAAGCTGATAATTTTTTAACCATATTTCAATGCAAGTAATCTTTGAATTAAATAAGTTTACTGCAGTAAACTTATTTGAACTATGCATAGAATTTACGATACTTATCTGTTTTAGTGCAAATATCGGCTACTAATATTTACCTGGGACGCCGTTAGCTTACATTTTTGCGAAGTGGAAAATCTTAATTTACTGAATAAATAATTTATCAAATCATAATCTAAGTTTGGCTTTCTGCTATTTAAGTTTTCATGTCTCCAAGCGTGGCAGCACGAATTTGGTTTTCCAAGTAGGACCACAAATGCTCTATTGGATTAAGGTCAGGAGAATTTGGGGGTCAAGACATGACNTTTTACTTTTAGAAGGTACACTAGTTATAATTAATTAATTGTAGTGATAGATACTACTACTTATTTTGTAATATAAGTATTTGAGACACTGAACATTGCTGAAACATTGCTGAATTCACTATAGAACTATATGCATAGTTCACAATGGTACTATGTAGGTGTAATATAGTCTACAATAGACGCGTAATGTCTATAACACTATGTTCCCTATCGATATACGTGAACGAAATAGTTCAGGGCTCGAAAAACAGCCCGTCCTCGGCGGTCAAAAATTCCCCGCTGACAATGAATTTCTCAAATCAGACGTCCGCGCGGACGGCCATTTTCCCGTTAATGTTCGTGATACATTTTCAATTTTTGTTATCTTACAAGAAATTCGATTTGATTTCAACAAGTAGCTATCTGAGAAACAGCTTTTGATATCTTTTGGCAACTAAAACATGCAGATGTTACTTGAACATTTAATTTGCTTTTTTGAAGGAGTAGATAAAGAAAATTTTTTCAAAAATGTGTCATTAAAATTTAATAGACATAACATCGTTAAACACCAGAAAACACCCAAGCTATTTATAAAGACCTAATGCAACAAAATGACCCACAATACAGCACATACTGCGCATGGTGGAATTGATGTTTTCTCTGTCTGGGAGTACTGCAGCGGTTGAGAGGAGCTTTTCAACAATGAACTTACAAAAAAACACATTACGTACTGGTCTTAAGCAAGAAGCGTTAAACGCAATTATGAACATCTACTTAAATGGAAAATCCCTTTCAGATTTCTGTGCAGAAACCTCTGTAAATCATTGGCCTGATTGCGGAATTGGCAAACGTCATATTTGATTCATTTAAAAAACGCAGTACCCTCGGATAAATTGACATTCCANCTTTCAGACGTCAGGAATTGTTCTATGAGGATTATGGGTCCTAATGTGCCGCATGAAAGCATTGTTCTTGGGCGAGACACCATGAAAACCTGGGCGAGCCCATTGTTATAGATGGAGGGTGGTCATAATGTAATGGCTCTTCGGTGTAAACGTTTGCAATAAATAAGAGAAAATTATATTTTTATTTATTTAGAAGCTATGGCTTAGTTTCAAAGGAGGACAGGTACATTGTTGGATAAGCCGTCCTCGGGGGACGGGTAAAATTTCTGATTTTTTTCGAGCCCTGAAATAGTTCTTAAATATTTTCATGACGGGTTGGTTAAATAATTTGCACCAAAAATACTATTTATTTATTAATAAAACATTACTAATTCAATCACCGTGGACTAAATATAATCGTGTCTTTATAATTAGGTATGTAATTTCGAGGTAAACGAATGAACGAAATATGGTTAGTAATTTGCGCTTGGGTACCAAAAAAAAAACTCCTTTATGCCTAAATAGTGGCCACGTTTTTAAATTGACGTCGTTTGTATTTAAGACAAATTTATTTTATACAATTGAAAGAAGGAAAAAAAACATGACTGCTGTGAAAAATTGACTTCTTATGTTTCATTCAGTTGTAAAGTTTGGTTTTTACGAACAAATATCAATCTTCTCCAACGCTTGAGATCCGTCTACTGTGAATTGAAAAAGTGAAATGAGCTAACGAACTGATCTGAAATAACTGAGTAAGTAGTTCCAAAACTAAGCGAACGTTAACAAGCAGGAGGCTTCTAATATAGATAAAATTAAAAGCGGATAAAATTAAAGCATAAAAGCTGACTAATAAAACTAAACGGAGAGTGAGTGATCGCTTAAGTTTCATCTCATGGATATGGAATATTTTTAAACATGGACATGGGGTATTTTTAAAAATACCAAACACCCCATTCCAGAAAGAAGCAATCCTAGAGGATAAAAAAATCACAAAATTATCTGAATCTAAAAATGTAAAATAACTACAAATAGAATCTTACAAATCACATCTGTATGGGGTTCTATTTATTCGAGTTAATTTCTGTACTTTTAAATATAGTAAAATTTCGGTTTAAGTAAAGACTAAAATCTTTTTCTTCTTATTTTTACAGCTATATTTTTCGATATCCTTGCGAGAAAGTTGTTTAAGAAGGTAGGAATAAATAGTTTACATTTTCTTTTTTTACCAGAATTTAGTTTTAAGTTTAGTTTCATCTAACATATCAATCATTATGAATTCATACGAATAATTCATAAGATCTTCATAAATTAGTGTAAATAAAGCAATTGGGATAATTCCTTGCCACCCATCGTCCGAGTATGAAAATTTTTGCATTGAACAGTTTCTTAGCCTTGTTTTCCGTTAGATACTTAGTAAGCTTCACTGGATAACAGCACAAAACACCGAAATATTTTATTACCTATATGAAAATCATTGTGTTTTTTTCCCGTAAAAAATACACACTTAAGCAATTTGAAATGTTTACCATTGCATTGCCTAAAAATGTTTTTATAAAAAAAACACTTTTTTAAATGAACGAAAATGAAAATTTTTTTTTAAATTTTTTACGTCTAAAATTATGGAACACGGGCGTAATAAACTTCTACCATCACCTAAATTTATCATTTGTTTCATTTTATTCATTTATTTTTTTATATAATACTACAATTTCAAGTGTGCAACTTAATTTTAGATCTATGGTATCAATCAGATCAATATACCATCAAAAGCAATCCCAATTTAAGAGATTGACACAAAATGATACTCATACAAAAATTAGCGTAAAAAGGAATCATCTATTGAAAAAGCATACTGATATCATTGTGTAAAGTAAAAGAGAGAACATGAAACACAAATCAAATCAATGTATAGTTAAACAGAACGTACAGTTTTTTGGCACAGTAGCAGGCGTAAGTTGCGCCAAGTGATTTTAATACTACTACTAAGCATTATCCACAGCTCAAAGGCATTCTATATCTGTCACTGAGGATGGTACATGTTGCATTGAGAATGCAATTTTTCATAAGAATAAAATTTTGCATACATAATTTGAGCGAAATCAGTCAAATAGTTACTGAAAAATCAAATTTTGAATATCTGACTGTTTCAAAATTTGATTTCTCAGGAACTATTGGACCAATTTCGCTTAAATTATGTGTTTAGCGATCCAGAATTATATCCTTTAAAATTATGTAAGAGACTGTATACCTTACGATTCAAAATTTTTTCGACTATAATTAAGTAAAATAATAAATATTTACTGAAAGCTATTTTGCATAGAATTCCCTTTGGTTAAACGATCAAAATTTTCATCATTGGGATCAATTTATTGAATTGGGATCAAAATTTTTTCAATTCGCATTAAAAATTCTCGAGATATGGAGCAATACGCAAAAGTAAAACATTTCCCTGATTGCTGCTTTCCCCTAAATTAGGGGCGGGGGGTCAGAGATCCGATTCAGTTGAAAAAGAAGAGTAAGTTTATTTATTATTTTTTCTTTAATTAATTTTTTTTCAGCGTCGTGAGCCATATTTTTTAAGCCAACTGCTTGGACAAATGTCCTCTAATTTGTTCAAGTACTTAACTTTTTTTCCAGCTGAAACACTTTCCGTTTTCTTTAAATTATAATTGCCTTGAAAATTCTGTATAATGATTTCAGACGGATCCAGCCTTATGTAGTTTTATTTTTCAAGGTTGTGGATTTCTTGCGATATAAGGAATTATTAAATGAACCTGAGCCCCCCTTAGCTGGGAATCTTCTTCGAGAAGTTACAGCATTAAAAAGAATCACTATTCAGGTACTTTCAACGTACTTTTCTGCTGAATTTATAAGAAACTTTACCTCTAAAAAAATAATTTTATTTACGCATTTATTTAAAAAAAATTGGAGAAACGAAAAAGGAAAAAAAAACTAAGTTGAAAGTAAAAAAAAAATATTTGGACTAAACTCTCATGATTTATAACCATATGTATGAGTATACACACAATTTGCTTGCATTAATGTTCATTTAATAATCACAAAATTGAACGATATTGTTCATAAATTGACAAGATCTACTAAGTATCACAATAGCGATACTTTAAGCAACAGCGATATATACAGCCAGATTAACTCAATATCATATTTACAGTTATTTATGGTATAGTTAATGAAGAATTGTAGAATTAATATCCAAGTTTTCATTTCGCTATACATCGTGCATAGCTCGAAATATTCAGTAAGCTTTGAGATAAATATTATCCCAAAATAGAGTCTATTCGGTCAAGATTAATGCTACTAGAGATTTGGGGTAATCACCCACAGGTACTTTACTGCTTTTTTTTTAAATAATATTTTATCTCATTTTAAAACCAGCTTCAACTTGTACCTTCCACACAAAAGTACTATCAACCTGAGCACGAACGTTTTTATCTTAATATCAAGAATTTTGCAACATTATCCAACAATCATTAACAATAAACACGGTGATTTGATCTCAGAATATTCAAAAGAATCCGGAAAGATTTTATTGGATACCTGTAAGCAACGTCACGAGTTTGTGTCGAACTGGCTTCTGAATCGAAAAATGCCACAATTTGCCTACGATTACGTCACTTGAAGGTATCCAATTATCATTGCCGAAAAATTCAGTCTTTTGCTAAAACTGTCAATAGTGCTAAAACTGACCTTTTTCGGTGTACCTTTTCGAATAAACTTTTTATTGTTGTTGTTGTTGTTAATTTACGTCGCACTAGAGCTGCACAATGGGCTATTGGCGACGGTCTGGGAAACATCCCTGATGATGAGCTTCTCACGAATCCTCACAATTTTGATCCTCTGCGGAGGGGATGGCACCCCCGCTTCGGTAGCCCGACGACCTGCGCGCGAAGTCGAGCACTTTACGGTAGCACAGTTTAACGAGGACCAATACCGCACACCCTCGGTCCCTACGCAGACTAATCCAAGTGGTCACCCACCCGCACACTGACCGCAGCCAGTGATGCTTGACTTCGGTGATCTGCTGGGAACCGTGTCTTAACGATCAGTCCACTGCGGGACAAACTTTTTATGATATCGCTTTGAAATTTTTTGGAGATATTTGTGATTATATTAGTTGTACGCTGTGATAATGTTTTTGAGTTAACAAGAATGCTTTTGGTGTTATTGAAAATTTTTGGTCAAAAATGCTTTAACTTTTATAAAAATTAAAAGTTCTAAATTCATAATTTTTTAAAAATAATTTCGCCAACGATATTTATTAACAGATATCACAGTGTAGGCATGTATATGCAAATATTCTGTGAAAAAAAAAATGAAGCAATATCTTTTAGTTGCTGAAGTTTAGATGTTGAGAAAAGGCCAGTTTCAGCATAATTATTATATGCTATCGACTCAGCTTTATATATATTGCATTTAAAAAAAACCTTTTTTTCTTTTTCTTATATTAAGCAAGTTGTGAAGACAATCATGTTAATGAAAAAATATTTAAAAAGAGAAAGAAGAAACAGATAATAAGCTTATATTTATTAGGAAACAGTTAAAAATGAAAATAAGTAATTTTAATCAGAATAAGTAAAAGAAGTTACATAGAGGCACAGTTAAACACTCGTAAAAAAGTAAATACGGAAAGAATTAAATTGTATAACTATGTTAATTTGTTATAATTGTTGAATTAAATAAACTAAGTTAATGAATAAAATCTACCACAATATGAAGTAGAAAGACATATGTATCCGATAATATATCTTAATATTAAAGCATTATTACTTTAATTAAAAATTGTATTCGAAATTCTAGATATCGGATGAAAAAGAAATCCTCAAATCCGTCTATTATAAGATAGTCAACGATGATGAGTCATCACTGATGAGCTTTCAGAAAATGCATAAAAGTTTTGAAGATCTTCACAATCGGATTAAACGTCGGTTTGTAGCGATTGGCAATGAAAATAGAGCCAGGTATCACCAAGTACAAGAAATGGCATTAAATCTAAGGAATGAAGTATTGGCGCTAAAACTTCAGGTGGAACAGACTGATAACCTTTTGAAGTCGCAAAAATTGGCTCATTTGGAAGACGAACCATCCGAAATTTGCAGAGATTTTGCTGAAGTTTCTTCTCAAACTGAAGAGAGCAGTGAAATTATACCTATTAATGTAAGTTAATTAATATTGAACTTATTCCTTTTTGGTTTGAAATGTAAGTGAAATATAAAGTGAGGAATTAAAGAATCAACGTGGATATTTGACCGTTGCGCGGCAACAATTCCACGGTATTTAGGTGTAGTTATAGAACAAAAATTTTTTTATCATGTAATATTGTTAAAATTGCATCATTATCAAACTCTTAGAGACTACATGTAACCCCCTCCCAAAAAAACGAAGTAAAATGTACAGTTTTACTTTAAATCAATGGTATCGATTAGATCGATACCATCAAAATAGTACCAATTTAAGGGATTGGCACAAAATTATCCTCATACAAAATCAACGTAAAAAGGAATCATCTATTAAAACAGCTTACTTTCATTATTGTGTGATACTTATACTAAGTAAAAGAGTGCATATGTAACACAAATCAAATGTACAGTTTTTTTTTCTTTTTTTCTGTCGTATGCCTGTTTAGGCAGTGGCGGTGCAATTGTTCCTGTTTTTCAGTGGCGCCATCTATGGCCAGGAATTCGACTTCTGCCACGTCATTCACACAACCACAACCCGTTTATAGGGCGGGTCACATTCACACGCAAGGGAGAAAGGACATAGAACACACACAGAGAGAAAGAAACATCCATGTCTTGCCCGGGATTCGAACCCAGGACCTTTCTAAAGCAAGGAAATGTACAGTTAAACGAAACATATAACTCTTTTGGCACAGTATCGGGCGTAAATTGTGCCAAGTGATATGGTACTGTTACCAAGCATTATCCATAGCTCAAAGGCATTCTATGTCCCGGCACTGCGGATAGTACATGTTACATGTAGTAAGTGCCCAAACGGCTATTTATAGCTTTTAAATATTTTGCTTTCGTTTTAATTGCAATATTTTTTTTATTGTAGCAAAACCTCTTTTAAGCTACGACAGAATAAGGAATCTGTGTAATTTGAGAGAGTCATGAATTCAGTTAACAACAAATTTTTGATTTTCATATCGAAGCTATTAACCAGTATGTTTGTAAAATTGAAATAAACATAAAACTGCTAGTGTTTCATCATCAAAAATTATTTCAATTCCAATATCATTTTTTTTAAATTTATTAAATATGTGTAATATATACTTTATCATTTCGTAATTTTGTAGGTCTCAAACCAATATGCCATTTATGTCAAGTTACCCTTTTGTCATTTAGAGCATCATATAAGAGCTTTATTCATAAACAGATATGCATAACATACACGAACGCGCGAACGTTATTCGTGAAATGTTTTTTAGTATTTCTCTTTATGAAAAAAAAAATATTTATAACATTTTTGCGTTGAAATGTTTAATGACATAGATTTAAATACATAAAAAAAGTCAAGTATAAGGTTAAACAAGGTAAGTCAATGGCTAGCTTTATATCTTTAAAAAACTAATAAATTTAATTAAGTATATGCTGGTATGTATGATAATCATCACAGAGTCTTATCAAACATTAAGCAATTTTTTGAAGAAAAAAAATCAGAAATTTTCATTCAAATTTCGTTAAAAATAGATGAAGATGAGAAGGTTGAAAGCAGTTGCAAAAGTTAATAAATTGTCTGCGATTTTTTTTTTGTTGAGATTTTGGTGTTAGCAGAAAGTTTTTTTATTTTAAATTCTGTTCATAGCATCAAAGCATACCTGATACGTTTGTAATTTCAAAATTGCTTCAATTTCATATTTAAATTGCTTTAAAAAAAGTTTATTATTTGTTTGTAATTTTTCAGGTTTCAGACTGTGGAGTTTCCGAAGTAGAATGGATGCCATTGAAGCAGGGCGTGTTCGTTGCTATCATTGAAACCGAGAAACTAAAGAAGGATGTCATTCTCCGAATGTTCAATAATTTTAGAAAAGAATACGAACGCACTAAAGCTCTTATAATAACTTGCTGGGATGGGATAAATGAAGAAATCACAAGCTGCAACTCTCTTCTTGAAAAGGTGCACCACGTCAAGCAGACTATTTTGGGTATACATATAGTCCTACATCAGCAATTTGTGGATGCGCAAACAATCAGAGAAACATTGAGATTCTACGATTACAAATTTAAGAAGTCTATACGGGGAAATGTCGTTCGCAGGAATAAAAATAACGTTTGCCGTCAGGTTGCTTTGGACAGTTTGCATAATGCTCATGCTGCTTTAAATGTCGGATCACTGGCATTTAAAGATAACTCAAAGGATGTTGCCCAAAAATTGGATTGCTTAAGCAAGATGGTGACGCAGTTTGGGTTTACCGCAAAGCTTTTGAAAAACGACGCTGAGCACTGCATGTGCTCGATGGAGAAAAATGTCAGCAATCTGATTACGAACACATCTAACCTGTCTGCTAAAATCGATGGGGAATATTGCCAGGAGATAAGTAGACTGTCTGAAAAATTGCTCGCTCCTGGAGAGAAGCTGTACGTTTTTCATAAAACTTTGGAAGAATTGCGTGCTTTGGCCGATGATTTGAAGTTTCCTTCCAGGCACAGTTCTTCGAACAAGTGGACAGGCAATTTGGAATCAAAGCAACGCGCCGCAGCATTGATTTCAGGTATAAAAACTAAAACTGAAGAGTCAAAAAGTAACAATGGTAATTTTCGTAAAATAATAAATATAAGCGCGTATACAAGCTTTGAAGAGGCATTGAACCAAATCCTGACTTACAATGAGCTCGACAGAAATTCAAAGGTAATATTTAGGTTTTTTTCCTTTCTTTTTAATCTGCATATTTTTTAATGGCAACTTATAGAAATTTTACAATGTCCTATATTTTTCTTATACGTGAATATCCTATATGTAAAATTTCAGCACAGATGGAGCCGGGAATCTTTTGGCCTTCTCCTTTTTATTCATCGTTATTTTGTGTCTCCTCCTCTTCGATTTATTTTCTCATATTCATTAAATGCTCTCGGAAAAATTTTAACATTTTCCAAAAATGCTTTCATTTTTACCTCATTACTTTCTGAAAAACTTCTGCTTTAGCTCCTATTCGTAAGCTTTGAATATCTTTCGCTTGCTTCTGTAATCATATTCTTCGTTCTGACCTTTCCTGCAGTTATTTTAGGAGTATTTTCGTTCCCTCTCTTTGAATTAGTTTAGCCATACTGTTCAACAAAATAATTTTACGGGAGAATTTAAATTGCTTATTATCATAAAACTATGTCCAATGCACTCCTCGACTCTGTACGATACAGCCCGAACAAATGGAATAAAGAAGCCAATCACCGATGATTAATTTTAACGAGATTGACTGCCTACAAATTAAAAGAATAATCTATAAAAATTTCAACTATGAATAGAATAACAGCATATGCAGTACTCAGTTTTAAATAAGCTCCTGCAACCAGGATCAATATTCGTTCACGCAAATCGGTAGAATTTTTAAAAAAAGTCTGGTACGGGGAAACAACACAGCCATTTGATTAAACATTAAGTGGAGAAACATTCTCTCTTCACTAAACAAATTGGTGATTTTATACAAGTGCTGGGCACCCCTGACCAAGAATACTAACTGTGGACTGTCGATTTCAATACAAGCCCCACTCTAAAGTGTTGTTGGTCGAAAATGAGAGGAAAAAAACAGCTCAGAAAAATGAAACGGGTAAAAGAACTCTTAGCTAAGCCATTTCTGAAATGCATTTCAATTGCGCTATGAAAAATTTTTTATGTTATTATACACAAAGAAATTTAACTTTTCTTTGTAAGATGCATTAACCACTAAGATGAAACTATACCTGAATTGCTCACACAGTGGTGGTATTGAATCTATATAAAATTTTATATATCTATTTACAATAATATCTATTTACATAAGAGACTATTTCATATTATATTAGGGTTTATGAAGTAAAGATGATTTTAAAACATGTATCTTGCCAGAAATGCGTAAATATGTTGTTTGGTATCAAAAATATTCTCGTAATCTGGCTGATTGGTCAACGGATGTTTTCTATTTTTTTATTTTCTAATATAGTCAAGTTAACTGTGAACTGCACGTAACGTTGAAATTTAAATATTTACCATAACCTTATTCCAAATCTAAACAAACACAGGTTTTGAAGTGTGCTTATTCCTAACATATACGCAAGCAAGCAGAACTCGTTTCATAACAGAACAGGTTGAATCTCTTTCCTCGCTTTGAAGATCATAAAGGTTGAGGTAAATATTTACAACAAAAAAATTATATTGTCTGTCTATGGGAAGAACTCAGCTCGTCATTCATCTGAAACAATTACGGTGACCATGATTGCGAGGTTTAACTATTTCAAGTTGCGGTTGTTCTGTCAATATTTAAGACAGGTTTTGGCTCCAGTCAGCGCTAGAAAAGGAATCAGGAGAGAGGGAGAACCTCCCCTCTTTGAAATACACTATTTATTGTTTCCATAGCAGCAGAGGAACTTAAACTTTGCGACGAGGGGAGTTCCTTCTACTGACAAACTATCGCTGCCGATTTCTGGAGTTGATTAAGCAGTCATCAAAGTGAGCAGGCGGTGAGGCTATTTAATTCAATAATAAATAATGAAACATAATAGAATACTTAAGATTTTACTAAGTTTGAAGTTGGACAAAGAGCAATTTTGTTCTCGCCATTTTTTCTAAATTTTTCATCCACTCTAAGGAATGCAAGGACGTATACAGAAGTACCAAGTAGTTTGGTCCCGACCCGTCACCAAAATAATTCAAAATCGTATTATTTCCTACAATCTATAACATATTTAAACCCATCAGGAATAAGTGGAAATAAGTTTGGAACTACTTCTGGTATGGATTTTTTTTTCTCTTTTGGATTCATCATTTGCGCATACCCTATAAAAGGACTTGCATATAATACTATTTCACTTTTAACTCTTACAAGGGAAACTAGGGAAGTGTGACTCGCCAATTTTGAAATAAACTAGTGGGATGTATGCCTTATGAGGAATAATTTTAGGGGGCAACATTCGTTTCGGCCCATAGAAGGTCCTATGAGAGATAAAAAATAATTCAATATATAGAAAAATCGGTATTTTATTACTTCAATGCAGACTATTAATTATTGTAATTATCTCATACTCCAATTAATTTTGTGGTACTTTCACGTACTATATAATGCATATTTATTGTCAAAATTGATTACGAAAATTTTATATATCTGTAGTTTTTCAGAAAAACCTGTCAGGTTAATTTTAAAAAAAATTGACATCAAATTTTTAAAATTTTATTTTTCAAAAAATTTTCTAAATTAATTGGAGTATGTAATTGCATATCAATTAATTAATTCATAATTAATTTGCCAACTAATTTATTAGCTAGCAATTTGATTAATTAACCAATTACTTACAAATTAATTAGAGTATGAGACAATTACAATAACTAATAGTCTGCATTGAAGTAATAAAATACCGATTTTTCCATATATTGAATTATTTTTTACCTCTCACAGGACCTTCTATGGGCGAATGCTGCCCCCTGAAATTATTCCTCATAAGGCATACAACCCACTAGTTTATTTCAAAATTGGCGAGTCACACTTCCCTAGTTTCCCTTGTTAGAAGGTTAAAAAAAAAATTTAAATAAACCAGTATTTTTGTCTAGAACGAACACTCATCAGAATTGGGATTATCGTACGCATGTCCAAAAGATTATCTTCACATTTTTCAACATTTAGAGTAGTTCATTGAAAACCACGCAGTTTTAGGAGATAAAAGCTATCAGAGTTTTAGTTGTTTAAATTATTGTAAAAAGTAATTAGAATAAGTTTTATCTCGCTGCCCTTCAAGGAGTTAAAATGAATGCAGTATGAAAAACATCTCTAAATGTTTACTTATTCAATGTTTCTATTTCTTGTGTATGAAAATTTTACTAGCGTTCTCTCTTTTATATCAGGTTGGTAAAGCACGGAAAGGCTTAGATATCGCACTGCGAGATATTAGCAACGATTACCAGACGGAAAGTTGTAACGCATTGGCAACTGCGCGAGAAAAACGAATTGATAAATTATTTGTTGAATAAAACTTCACCAGTCACTTTCATTCTCTCTCTCTTTATATTTTTTTTCACAGAAAAATATTGCATTTTTTACTACATGTAAGGTTATATTTACTACTTACAAGGCTATAATGATAGTTTGGGACTATTATTGTAGCCTTGTTATTTTAAACTCAACAAAGAAACAAATCGAACTCTTGGATCAAGCATTTGCACATTCCAACACCTCAAAGAAAGAAAGCCTCCGCCCAGGGCCAGATTAAGCGTAGGCGGGGCCCTAGGCTATCCAAATTTTTGAGGCCCTTAGATTAAATTTTTTTTCCTGTGTATTTTTTATTTATTCAAATATATAAAAGTATTTATCTATCTTTTCATTTAAGAAAGCAATATGATTAATACTTTGTAAAAAAAATATCGTATTTTATTAATATATATTTGAATTTTTTTTTTAAATCATTGTTTTTCTTAATGTTTTAAAATTTAATTTCAAGAAATCCTTTTTAAAGGGGGCCCTAATCATTGGGGGCCACAGGCCATGGCCTAGTCAGGCCCTAATGGGTAATCCGGCACTGCTCCGCCTGTATCAATTTAAAGTCCGACTTAACGAACATAAACTGAGCGGTGGATGAAAAATAAGAAAGATGCCACAATGTCTGGACTGATAGACTGCGAAGCGAGGGGAAAATAAGAAAGATGCCTTAATCGGGTTACTAATCGGATTTCTCAGAAAGACTACTAATCGGATTTCTCGTTTATGGTTACGTACGAAAGCTTTTTCTCTTCTTGGAGGTGTGGAACTTTCACGGATGACAATTAGATAGCTTTTGTATATTTGTGCAAAACATTTTTTTTAATATTACATTTTGTACATCATTTTATTTTATTCTTTAAATCAACAGTAGTATTTGAAACTTCTAACATGGGTATTATCTGTTGTGTTTGGCTCTCTTTTTTTAGGGAAATAATAAGATTTTGATAAAATGTATTCAATTTTCTCTGCCGTAACCAGATTTTAACTAACAAAAGAACCCTGGATGACATTCTGTTGAAATTCTGGCAAATAATGCGCCAATGCTCACCGAAAGTGTTTACAAATGCCAAACTGTTGTCAAACATTTGAGAAGACTTAGATTAAATTTTTTAATACGATACTTAGGCTTCTCTACTAATTTATTACTCAACGGGTTTGCCCGTGAAGAAATTTCCCCCAAATTCCTCGAGTGTAAGTAACGTGTATGTAGCCACAAGGGCATTAAAAACGAGAATGCTGTTGTAGAATTTTGAAGGAAATGAAATACAACATTAGCTACCATTCCTTCTTCTTTATCGTCGGGCTACCAAAGTGAGGGAACCATTTCGAGGGTTAGAACATGAAAAATGACAATTATATTGCAAATTAAAATGGAGTTACATAATTAAAAGGGGGAGATTCTAAGTTATGGGAGCTTCACCTGGTTCGAATTTCAATTACAATTACAGTTGAGTACCAAATACAATAAGGATAAGCATTTACAATTGAGGTTACACAACGATTGGTGACATATATATTACATCTGAATTGGTTGATTACAGTTATATTTTACATTCAATTATTGCATTATTTATTACATGATTTATCACGTTATTGCAAGCATTATGATGTCGCAGCTCGCAGTTACAAATTACAGATTTGTATTTTTCTAAGTTTGAACACAGTGACTTGAACAAATTGATACGACGATACGGTTTACAACTGAAATCTAAATAAAGGTTGTTGTTACTTAGGCTTGCTGGCTGGATTTACTTTTGAGATTGCGGTTATAGTGATTGTGCGTTTGATAATTTGATCGAGTAAATAAAAAAGGAATTCTGTCAGGAAACGTGGTCTCAGGAAAAACAAAACTGATTTTTGTTTTTGCCTTCCCGTGGTACCGACGACCGGATCCATAGAATTGATCCTGTCATCTGCATGGGTGGCATTGTAACTTGTACAGTGTTTCACCCTACTCTTACTTGGAGATTTGGTGACCCCCACACGTTTTGCGTACCATAGTGTGCTGGCACTGAAAAATATTATAAAAATAGAAAAGTTATGTTGATCTGAGGAGTGTGTTAAAGCATCGGGGAGCTTGGAGGCTTTGGAGGGGTGTCCTACGTGCAGGGGCACTGACTGCTCTCCGTTGTGCTACCTTTTGTCCAGCGCACCTTCTTCACTCCAAATTGAAAAACTGGCCCACCTCTTCCAAGAAGGCTCAATTGGTGTTTGAGATTACCTTCTTACTCGTTCTTGGAGATTCGGAAGTATTCACTAAAAATAGAAAAAAATCTATTAAGTTTAAAATTTTTTGACTTTTTAAGCATCAAGTAAGCAGGCAAATTTAAAGAAAAAAAATTGCATATTACAGGGCGTTCTATAATAATCGCCCTTAATGTATGTTTTTAGAATCTTTGAGAAAGGGAAATAGTGAAAATAAGCACTTTAGATTAGGGGCACAGATATAAGTTTAAGTGAATGAAAAAACAAAATTATTCTCAAAATCTAAGGAATTGTTACTCGGGAAGTTTTGGATGAAAAACTCAAAATCTCTGTTTTATTGAAGGAAGAAATAAAATTTTGAATATCAAAAGGTCATTTTCCTTTTTACTTCTTTATTTAAGAAAAAAAAACATTAAAACGTCATTATCCTTGTTAAACATTTTGCTTGAAATATCTCCATTTTCTTTTGATACCTTATATTAGCCAAGGTTTATGTTCTTAGTAAACATGCTTCTTAAGTTAATAAAAATTTTATTTTTTTCTGCACGCATGTTTTTTTTCTTTCCTTTCCTTATTCGGAAAAAAAGTTTGCTTTGTGTTTTTCATTTTTAGTTTGAAATTTTGACGGGAAAATACAAAATTTTTCCTCCTCTTTCTTTTTCCTCCTTTCCTTCTTCTTTAAATTTTTTTTTATAGTTTTTGTGAAAATTGAATTGCTTAAGGTAAACAATGTAGTACTGTTCATTTTTTTCCCTTAAAAAGTTAAGAACTCACTACTAGAGGTGCTATGGGCAAAAGCCTTTAAATATGCTAAGTAATTAATGCAGACTATATTTTTAGTTACGGAATTAGACAAAAAACGGATGCTCTATAAATAAATATGCTTATTTTTAAATTGGATTTGAATGCTAAACGGGGAGGGGGAGCTGCATTGCGGAAAATATGATCTCAACACATTGAGATATATTGATCAAACTATAGTTTGATCAACATATCTCAAACTATATATAGTTTGATCAGGAAACAGGTCGAAAATTTGGACCCCTAAATGTTAATTTTTCTTATTATGTATATTGCCAAATTTTTCTTTAAGCTGACTGAAGAATTTTTGCATACATTTAGTTTTTAATAATTATTTAGTAATGATCGAAAAAATTTAATTGTAAGAAAAAAATATTTTTACGTCATTTTAAAATTTACAATGATAAAATACAAAATTTTTAATTTCTCTTTATTTAATTAAATTATTCTTGATTTCGTTCAAATTTTGTATTTTATCACTTGAAATTGCAAGCATGTGAAAAAAATTCAAATGGAAATTAGGAGATTGTTGTTGTTGTTGATTTACGTCGCACTAGAGCAGCACAATGGGCTATTGGCGACGGTCTGTGAAACATCCCGGAGGATGATTCGGAGACATGCCATCACAATTTTGAACCTCTGCGGAGGTGATGGCACCCCGATGATCTGCCACTTCGGTAACCTGACGACCTGCGCGCGAAGTCGAGCACTTTACGGTAGCACAGTTTAACGAGGACCAATACCACACACCCTCGGTCCCTACGCAGACTGATCCAAGTGGTCACCCACCCGCACACTGACCGTAGCCAGTGATGCTTGACTTCGGTGATCTGCTGGGAACCGTGTCTTAACGATCAGTCCACTGCGGGACGGAAATTAAGAGATACGAATGTGAACCTGATTGACGGGTCTTTTGAGGATAAACAAAATTTCACCAATCAAGTTCTTGATCGCATCTCCAAATTCACGTACTTAAAATGTTTCAATACAAGTGTAAACGGTTCCTAAGATTAACTGTGGCCTGCATCTAGCACACTACTATTTTTCTTGCGTAATCAATAAATTTTACCTCTTCATCGTTATTGAATTCATAAACAAAACAAATACAGAACGGATGCAAGCTCAATGCCAGCTAAAGTTGAATTTAGTTCTTCGAAAATAATTATTTCCTTTTAGCAATTATTTCTTTCTGAGGAATAACCAGTAACTATGTTTTAGTTATGTTGTATCCATTTTATGAAGTTATTTTTGAAAAAGGTCCGTTTAATCCTGTTTTATAATATTATTGTTTATAAAAGTATGAACTCAAATTTGCTAGGTCAATTTATTTGAAACTTAGCTTAATTAGTTTTTCAGCCTACAAAGTTTTTACAGTATATTCGGCTGTGCAATATGTATTTCATTAATATGTATGTAATAGCTGTTTTAGAAATGATTTCCTCTAGTTTTTTTGCTTTCATTAAATTCTTTTTTGTTATGGAATTGTAGTTCTGGAATATACTTGTTTTCACTTGCAATTTTAATTTTTAAATTCATATTTTGCAGTCTCCATATCTTGATGCATCCCTATGATAAGAAATAAAGAATTGAAAGCCAAAGTATGGATGAGAGCTCAGAAGCCGTTGACCCCAGAGTTAAAGTAATGTACTAATTTTTTTCTTTATCATTTTAATATTTCAAGCTGTTGATGAAAATTTAATGATTCCTTAAATTTAATAACTTTTTAAATTTGGGTTTTAAAGTAGCATTTCACTAGTAAGTATGAGAATTATATTCCATATATACTGTTAATATGTATGTATATATTAATAGATAATCCCAAAAAGCTGAAGTGGTTAGATACTGATTAAAAAACTTCATGCGCTTTAAAAGTATGCAAATGAGAAATTACAGTTCACTCAAAACAGGTACCCATTTTCACGACTTCACAGGCTTGAATGAAAAGAAACAAAATTGATTTGAAAATAAAAACACTACACAATATTTGCCAACAAAAAATAGAAAAATAAAGGTGAGAAACAAAACTAGAAAAATCACTTTTGTTTGTTTTTTATTCATGTCTTTTGTTTGTTTTTTATTCATGTCTGGCAAATTTCGAAAATAGGTGTCTGTATTTGAGCATTTGAAACATGTCATCTGTTGTTTCTCATTTGTATATTTTTGAAATGAATGAAGTTTTTAATCTAGCAATATATATTTAGTACATTACAGCATTTAAGTTTAAACAATTGAATATTTCCTTTTTCTCATTGATTAAATATTACTTGTAGAACATTTCCCTATCGTTACTTATTCAAGTCAGTTTGAATTACCAAATGAAATTGTCTCGTCATTTCACTTGGATAGGAATATATTGTGAGGGAAAAATATTAGTAAAAAGTAGTGGATTTCCCAGTAGAGTGACTAATTTTAATTAGTAAGTTGGTTTCATTCTGTAATTTATTTTTTATTTGTATCTATTTCAGTGCCGTATTACCCCTTAGGCCATGGCCTGGGGCCCCCTTAAAATGGATTTTTTGAAAATAAATTTTAAAAAATTAAGAAAAAACGATTTTTTTAAAAAAAAATAAATTTCAAATATATATTAATAAATACGATATTTTTTTACATAATGTTAATCATATTGCTTTCTTAAATGAAAAGATATATAAATACTTTTATATTTTTATAAATAAAAAATATACAAGAAAAAAAATTTAATCTAAGGGCCCCAAAAATTTGAATGGCCTTGGGATGTGTACGCTTAATCCAGCCCTGATCTATTTATTTTGTTTGGTTTATAGCGTGCCACTGCTATTAAGTTGTTAAACTTTGGATATTTTGGTGCAAGCTGCAATGTTTAAATACTTTATCTTAAAAGCACGCAAATGTCATATCTTTTCCCTCTGTTTTGTTCAGTTGTGATACATCTTGATGCAGTGTTTTCATTACAGAAAAAAAATGGGAGAGAATTTCTCACCCTTTGTCAAAAACAAGGTGAGATTTCAAAAAGTTAAGAGAGATTTCTAAAAATTAAAAAAACATGAATAGACTTGGAAAAAAATTATTTCTTTTAATTATAATACATTTTTAACATCTAATTGAATACTTTTGTTGCTTCATCATATGGAAAATGTTCTATATCTACTTTTTCATCAGCTATTACATTTATTTTGCTGAAATATATCCGTATTTGTTTCGTTTTGACCATTTCTACCAACATTTGTTTCATTTTCAATTATTCCTTTACGGAGTAGAAGATGTCACCTTAACAAGGTATTTGTCCATCTTACATGAAGAAACCTTACCTGCGGTGAACACGTAGTTGCAGAGAAATGTGTTCTGACAGGGGTTCCGTGGTTCGAGGGGTTGGTGTTCTGCTGTTCTGAACAATACCGGTTCTGGACAATACTGGTAAATAGGGAAGCTACATAACAAGGACCAATGTTCAAAATAATGAAAGATCAAGGAAGAAAAGTGAAACAGATTTTATTAGAAATGGCAAAAGACGAAATTTTTTCCAAAATTGGCGCATTTTGAAATTGATTAATAGAGTGCGCGAACTTCTCGCGTTATTAATTTTTTATTGCGAGAAAAGAAAAAAATATGCGAGATTCTCGCGCTGTAGTGAAAGCACTGTTGATGTGTTCACCATTCTCTATAATTTTCACTTTCATGTAGTCTAAAATGTATTTTTAAATTCCTGCGTTGCCCACTTTAAGCACCATGTTCTGTGCACTTATGAGATATAGGTAGCTAATTGATTTCAAAGTCCAGTTAGTAATTAGTGTAAAGCTTACTTCTATTCATTGGCTGAAGGTGAAAGCATGCTAAGTGTTACCATAGTTTAAGAATTCTACAAAGTACTATCAACGAGCTATTTTGATCTTTATTATAGTTGTGGAAAAATTCTAAATCTAGAAATCAAAAAAGTTAAAACCATGTTATTTTCTTTCTTTTCTTTTTTAACAAATGAGAACTTCGTGTTTTAAATACTGTTAACTAAGTATTTATTACTCTTTGTTCAAAAATTGTAATTAATTTGCTATATCCATCAAATGTTGTAAGTTCATTTATTCCCTTATTATGGTTGTAACAAGATAGTTTCATAAATTTGTTTTTTAATTTATCTTGCTGATGAAATAAAAATTATATATTTTATTAATTTATAATTTATTTTCAGGATCAATTGGAGTATTTAAACTCTTATACTGATGAGATTAATAGCCTTGAACTTCAGCTTGATGTAAGCTTTTGTCTTTACAATTTTTATGTTTTTATAACTGTAACATTTGAGAAGATCTCTGTAATGATACCCATGCTAAAATTAGGGAAGCACTGGGAAACTAAAAACCAATCATAGAAGAAGGCAAACTCAAAAGTACATAAAAAAGAAGCCACTGTTTTTTTTTCTTTTTTTAATTACAAGAATTAAACAATGGCAAACAATTAGCATACCAATATGAGAATATCCTTTATTGTTTGAAAAATGTTTTAATCATTGTAAAAGAATGAACTATTGTAAGAGATTTAAGAAAGTCAAATTTACTTTTTTCATTAACCACTAAAATTCGTTTCAGAAGCTATTTTTATTTTTAAAAAGTTATTATTTTTCTAATATTGAACTTAAAAGATGAAACTATTTTAGTGTCTTATGTAACGGTATTTAATTTTGCCATTGGATCTTTAAATTTGAAAAAATTTCAATTGAACAAAGTAATTTTGATTTCCTAAAATCAAATAAATTTTTCGATACTATATCATTTATTTTAATGCTAAGTTCTTTTTTTTTTTTTTTTCCTGTTCTGAATTCATTTATGGGAAATCATGCCTCGTAAACATAACAAACATCAATGAATTGAGCCCAGTTTATAATACAAATTAAAAAGTGGCTTAATGCATTAATAACATTATTGAAATATGTTTAAAAATAACAAATTATTTGGTATATACACCTTCTGAAAAGTTATTATTCTAAAGTTTCACATATTTTAATCCACATTTAGTTTTTAATTTATTTAAAAAATTAAATAATAGTATAGATACTTATATACCTCGAATACATTACTCTTACATTATTTCTCTGTATAAAATCTTAAATATTAATGAAATCACACTTGAAAAAAAATAGCTTTAAGAATATATTTACAAATTATTCTAAATAAAAAAATATTTTCTTTTAAACTTTTTTTAATACTCTCAGTTGCTTTAAATTAATGATTTAAATTAAATGCTTTAAATGATCCTGTCATTTTAATAAAATATGCAGATAACAAATTTTAGGCCCCTTTTTATGTCTATACTGTTGAATTTCTTTCATTTAATGTTAACAGAATATCAACAGATACTGATTTTTTCATTTTATATATACATAAGCTCTTCAATTTAATAAAATAAATATAATTTTACTTATTAAAAAAATCATGATTTTTTTCTAGTGCACACTTAATTCAGATCATAATATTACTTAGTTTCTTCTCATCTACAGTAATTTCCTATGGTAAAGCAGCACCGTTGTACGCTCTATACCCTAAAAAATTTTTTACAATTTTCATTTATGATTGTATAATGCCACACCTCTGTACATACTGCACTTTAAATTTTTGTCATGGTAGTTTTTAACTGTTAAAGGGAAATCAGGCACTTTAAAAATAAAAAGAAATTTAAAGATTAGACACCAGCATATTATAAATGAAAGGGAATTCAAGAACTTTCACACGTAAAAGGTATGAGTTCAAAATTCCATGTTCATATTCAGAGGCACTAACATCATGGTGTGAAAAGAAAGTCGAAACTGCTTACTGGCTGCAGTTGCATGGAGGGAAGATGGAAAATGAAACACAGTGCATCAAACATATGACACTGATGACTTCATTAATTAGAATGGCAAGAATTTGTTTTCCTCCTTTTTCCCCCTACTTGACCTATGTGCTTCACCCACACATCCGGAAGGGAGTTTAACTTTCAACTCGGCCTTCGTGATTGATTTTTCCTCATCACAAGTTCTCTTTTTTTTATCGCTTCATACGATTGTTCTAATATATATTTTTTTCCAATCCCCTGAAACATAAACAGACACATAATTCTCATGTTCTAAGTTGGAATTTTTTACACATTCATAAGTCCATCTTCAATAATTGGAAACGTCTCTTATCCCACTGGATTTTTTATATACAAATAATAGTTTATGCCATTTTCTGATTGTATTGATATTGGTCAACTATTGAAGAATATAATTATTTTTGATGAAATCCACTTTGATTGCGGAATTCTTGCCTGAACTCAGCGGGAAAAATATCTATTGGAAATTACTGTGCTATGTTTTTGATTATGATGTTTTATTTTTATGGTCTGAAATTGTTACTCATCAAATGATACTTGTCTACATGATACAATGATACCAATTGTAGGATGCAAATGCTACATTTCGCAACACTTTGAGTGAATATAGTCAGAGACTGAAACTGATTGCCAAAAAGTTAGGCAAGTGTGTCCGCATTGCAAGACCCTATTATGAAGCCGAAGAAGCAGCTCAAGCTGTAAGTTTATTTTTCTTATTCTCAATTGTTATTTTTTTATGTTTGTTTCCTTTTGAATGAAAATCTAATGGAATCGAAATATAGGAATGAATCAAACTTTCCCAAATTCACCAAACTAGTTTCTAATGTTTCCAGGTAGGTAAGTATTTTACAAGTCTCCAAAATTTTCTCTAGATATCAGCTCAATACAAAGAAGCATCTTATCATGTGGAAATCATTGTGCTTTTCACCATAAGTGCCCTCCTGAATAATTTGGAAAATGTGGTTTGTCTTTGTATTGTTTGAAGCCTGAAAAAATTATAAAAATTCTTTGATATAACTTTAAATTTAAAGAATCTTTAAGGGTAACAATAATAAGATTTTTTTAAGTTTAGTAAACATAAGGGATTATTACTGTTTAGGTACAAAAAATTATAAGAGTTTTTTTTAGTTTTCATTTGATACTCAAATTAAAATGTTATTGTTGTTAATCGGCTTTGTTTACTTACATTTGTAGCTACATTGAACTAAAGTCTCTTATTTATGCTGTTTTTCTTTATAAAACTATGACATTGGTCTATGCCACAAGAAAGCAAACAGATCTGTCTATAATTTATTTTATGCATAAAAATGCCCAAGGGTTAATTAAATATTAATTTCCCTTGCTGAAATTTTTACTTTTTTTAAATTTGGGAATTTTATTTGGAACTGTTGTTTATCGGCTGTTAATTTTTATTGTTGATCGGCTTTGTTTACTTACATTTGTAGCTTTATACATTAGATTGAACTAATGTCACTTATTTATGCTGTTTTTCTTTATAAAACTATGACATTGGTCTGTGCCACAAGAAACCAAGCAAATCAGAGTATAGTTAATTTTATGCAAGAAATGCCAAAGGATTAATTAAATGTTTAATTGTCTTGCTGAAATTTTTACTTTTTTTAAATTTAGGGATTTTACTTGGAATTTAAATAAATGTGTCCTTTCTCGCCCTGGCTCTCTTTCCATAATCAAATTGAATTACATATTAGGGATGGTTGTATTTTGGATGTACCCTGGAGTTTTGTGCTTTCCGTATCATTCTTCCAGGTCTAAAAGCAGGACATGTGATTATCGCAAAATTTCATGTATTTCAAGAGTATTAGGTTGCGAACTTCCTCAAATCAAGAACACATAATTCAACGAAATTTTGAAGCTAAAACCCATTAATGAGAGGTTGATTCTTGCACAAATTTCATTATTTTGGTTTGGCGGATTTTCGCCATTTTGAATATTTGAGTCTGTTTGTATCACAACTTTTATTAGCGTGATTTTAATATCAAACATCATCATCATAGTTGGCCAGACAACCCAGTGTGAGCCAATGCCTTCCTCTGAAGATTTCTCCACGACGACTTCTGATTTATCTTTGATCTCCAATTTTATTTCATTAATCGCGAGAAAATCAGACTCCACTGAGTCAGCCCGTCTCAACCGCGGACTTCCCCACTTTCTTTTTCCAATGGGTCTAAAAAGCAGTATCTTTTTTATTGTGTTGTCGTCACTCATTCGTATAACGTGGGCGATTCAATTCATTCTATTTATTTTTATGTATTTAATAATATCAGGTTCTTTATAAATTTTGTACAGTTCAAAGTTAAATCTCCTTCTCCAAAATCTTTCTCTCAAAATTAGTGATACAATTTTACTCCAGTTTTGTGATTGTCCAAGCTTCAGAGGCATATGTCAAGACTGGCCGGACAAGAGTTTAGTAGATTAAGAACTTTGTCTTTCTAGTAAGAAACCTAAATTTAATAAATCTTCTCAGCCCATAGAAAGCCCTATTCGCCAAATAGACTCGGTTTTTTATTTCAGGAGTAATTCTGTTGTCAATGGTAAATATCAAACATCGCAACTCCTATTTATGTGTTTTAAAAATTCAATATCACAATTTCTTTTTTCGAGTATTTAAAATCCAATTTCACAATTCATATTAAAGTGATTTTAAAATCCAATATTGTGATTCTTATAAAAGTATTTTTCTTGAATTAGTTACAATAAAGTTGTGATATTCTTCATTAGTAGGTAATTTAATTATAATTGTTAGTACTAAAAATTATGTTAAATATGAAACATGTATGCTATATAAATTGGTATTTTGATATTTATTTTTTGCTCATAAAATTTTTAGGGTTTTTCACTTTGTGTCACTATCACTCTTGAGATAATTTTTGGAACAATTTTTTATTAAAATTCACTAATACTGTTAATTTTATGTCCACATTAATATTTTAATTATGCTTTTAAAACTAATATTGTACCTAACTGTTATTAATTAAGACGGTGAAAAGTTTATTTGCCATAATATTTATTTTGGTGTAATAAACTTACAGGCTAAACTTGAGTGTGAAGAGGCTGCTATTCGTTATCACAGGGCATGCAGTGCTCATAAAGAAGCTCGGGAAACTATAGCAATGGCAGAAAAAAAGTTTGATTCGAAAAAAGACGATTATCAGTTTGATGCTGCTTGGCAAGAAATGCTTAACAGAGAAACTATAAAAGTAAGACCTTTACCTACATACATTCCTAATTGTTTTATCTTTTTAAAAATATAATTGCATCTATAAATTGAAATTCATATACCAAATGTATAATATGTATAAAGTTCTCTCGTGTATTTTACTAAAGTATTAATGAAGTATATTTTGTTTTTGAAATCCGTATTAAATATGCATTAATCTACATAATAATCAATTGCATAATTTATTTCTCATTTATTAGTAAATTTCATATGCCAACTCTTATTTTCCCAATTTGATTGTAATTATACGTCCCATTTATATTTAATTCTGTATTTGTTTATTTTAAAAACATACAATCTAAATCAGGGGTTTGTCCAGGCCGAATTTACTACCGTTTAGCGGTACCTTCACAAATTCAACTAAAATGCTAGTTTCACAAAATACTTTTTTTTTAAAATTTATTTTTGTATCCCTTAAGAAACGATAAATCCATATTTTTGTGTTGATTTTTAAAGATAGTTTTTAATTTTTCACAAACTATGTCTAAATTTTCAGAAAATAGGTACCTCTTAGAAAAACCTAGACAGACCCCTGTAAATTATTCATTCTTTTTTTGCTTAATATAATAAATGTATATTGATGTGAAATTAAACTTATGAAATATCAAAAGAAAAAATTTATTATGCTGTAATTTAGTATGCTGGTTTAGTATATACTGGTTATATCATAGAGATTTTTCATTATTCTGAATTCGCATTGAGAAGAATTTTAGAGCGTCATTAGTCAGAATCTAGTCATTCAACTTGCTTAAGATGTTCATTATTAATAGGCAAAAATGTCATATATTTTAAACATAGAATCCTTTTCAGGGTTTGTAAGGTACTGGATACAATGAAATCCACAATAAGAATCGTGTTTCAGACTATCTTGATCAAAGCATCTTTGACCATAGTTAAATTTAAGAAGTTTATTTTAGCAATACCAAAGGAATAAAAAAATTGGTAAGGAACTATAATACAAATTTAACAAGTTAATTCTTGAACTATTATTAAATGGGGATCTATGTCACCACTGATTCTGCTTACATACTATAAAACAAATATGCCAAAACCTGAGGGATGATGCTAAAAATAAGTTATGAAATATTAAATGGCAAAAAAATTGTGTCTTTTGGGATGGGTTATTCTTCAAGTTGGAAGAAAAAATAGCATCTGATCAGATTTATGTACAGCCAAACCCCGCTATAGTGAACCTTCAAGGGACCGAAATTTCGGTTCACTATAACCGGGAGTTCACTATATCCGTTACGCAGGCAATTTCACTAATGGTTCCCAAACTCTTCCTTTTATTTCATTATATTCATATAAATGACTGAAAAATATTATGTAGTAGCAAAAAATTGTTTTATTTTTCATCACTCTTCGTCTTGCGTACAAAAAAAATTAGTAATCTTTAGCTGATGTGCAATCCTCAACATCAGATATGGAAACACTTCCCGACTCAGATAATTTTTCCTGAATTTCTGTTATTCCGCTTTTTGAACCTGTCTAACCTGCCATTCGAGCACATAAAAGTAGTTTCTATAGATGGTTTTAAAAATCTGTATATGTATCTATTTTGAAGTACAAATTTCAAAATTGGGGGGAAATCAGTCGAAGACTGAAAAAAGTTCATTATATCCAACTTCCTCACTTTTTTGGCTAACTATATCCACTAAAAATAACATTATACGTGTATAGCAAGGCATGGGACCGAACATTTCGTTCACTATATCCGGGAGTTCACTATAAGCCGAGTTCACTATAGCGGGGTTTGACTGTAGTAAAAAAATTCTTTCTCTTTGTTATTGATAGCTGAATGAGAACAATAGAATAATTCTGGGTATCTAATTTTTTGCTTTTCCCTTGATGCAAGTGTTTAATCAGTTCTAATTCAAACTAATAAATAAAACTTTTTGTTTTGAAATTCATTGATTTATGAATGTAAATATTAATGAAATTCATATTTTAAGTAGGGTTCAGTAAAAATTGGCTTAGAAATATGGGAGTCCTGGATCCTAAAGACCTGAAGTTCCCAAAGTCTAGCACAATCTCTAAAGAAATCAATAGTTTCACAACAATCTGTAAAATCAATCATCATCATCACATCTGGCTAGACAGCCCAGGGTGGGCCAGTGCCTTCCTTTGAATTCGAATCCACTTCTCTCTACTTTTGACACTTGTTCGCCAGTTTTTCTCCTTTAGAGTAAGGAAATCAGTCTCAACTAAATCCAGCCATCTCAGCCTGGGTCTACCTCTTTTCCTGTTCGTTAGGGGTTTGTGTAACAGGATTTTTTTTAAATTTGAGTAATCATTCCTTCTGAAAATGTGAGCTGCCCAGTTCATTCGATGTATTTTAATGAATTTCACAATATCTGGCTCTCTGTAGATTTTATACAGTTCAGTAGTTTCAGTTCTAAAATCAATAGTCTGTAAAATATATTTAATGCAAAACTATTTAAATGAAAGTAATTGGTTTTGTTCTTTCTCTCTTAATTTGCCCAAACCTCAATATTTTAGTGTAGTTTTCTGTGAACATTGCTGAGCAGTTACGAAAATGACAAAAGCTTTAATGAGTAAAGAAATAAAAAGTATGTTAATTAAACTGTAATTTTATTGTGCAATCTTTTTGAAATATATTGATGAAACAAAATAACTGATTTTGTAAAATTATGATCTTTACGTTATATTTAGTTATCATTCAAGTTTATGCAGTATAATTTTATGTTTCATAATTTATTAGTATAATCTTAAAATTAATGAACTAATGTTTTAGTTTAAATATCAATTAAGGATTTGGATATTTATTTTTATGTGAATTCAGTGCATTGTAATTAAATTTGAAATTATAAAGGCTTTATTATTTTTGGGGATTGAATAAAATTTTGTGCACTAAATCCTATGTGTCCTGCCCACAAACCTGATCTTTTGAATACAATAAGTACGAAAAATCTGTTGCCTTGAGTTCAGAGTAGTATGGCATCTCTAAACATCGTCTCCTAGCCGAAAAATAATTTGAAAAACACTACATAACTTTTTTTTACAAAAGTTTTTTTTTATTGTTCTTAAGACTAATTTAAAAAATTAAAGAAAAAGCATTGAAATAATACCTTTGAAATGCCATTTCAAATTATTTTAAAGTGAGAGAAATTTAAAACGTTTGTAGTCGAAGCACTTTATTTAAAATCTGAAGATGCGTGTTGTCCACATATAGTATAAAATAGCAAAATAATTTTTCTGTGCTATCTGCAACAAAATATGTAAAAATAGTTATCCTCATTATCTGATAATCTTAGCATTAATTGCTATTAGAAAATATAAAATAAAAAAACCTTAAGATACTTTAATTAATAGGATTCTGAGTCATATTAGCAGCCTTTGTGTATTCATATAAAACTATGAATTTTTTTTGTTGTTGTAAAAATTACACTTTTAATGATATTAAATAATATGTACATATATATAAATCTATTTGTATTGTTGACTATAATGAGCGTTATTCTTTCAGCTAATGAATGCAGAAGCTTTGAAAGAAGAAAATGAGCTTGAACATAAGAGAACAACTCAAACTTTTTCTGCTGCAGTAGAAAAAGTTAAAATCTTAGAACAGCAATTGAAAAAGGAGATAATTAAATCTAGGTGAAAAATTATATTTAGTTTAATCCAAATACTTCATTTAAAAACTTCTGTTTGATAATTACAGTAGAAAATTTTTATAATACAAGCCTTGAAACATGAGCCTTTACATTATATGTACTTTTATACTAGATGAATTATATCTCATCCCTTTAAACTTAACAATATATATATATATATAGAGAGAGAGAGAAAGATAATATTTCAATATAATTTTTAAATACATATGCTTAACACAAAATTATTCACTTGAGTATTTACTTTTTTACTGAAAAAATTTGAATTATCAAGAATTTTAGAACTAACAACCAACAAATTTATCAATTTTGGTTTGCTGTAGAGATTGTGAAGTTAATATGGTTTATGGAGAATGGCATTATATGAGAGGCATTTTCGAAAAGTAAAAAACACAATACCACATACTCACTTGAAACATTTTTAATTGATTAAAAGTACATTACAAATTTCTAACTGGTACTTATATTTTTTGACATTGTTGCCACTTAGTATTGTAAAAGCATTTGTTAGGTCTGGATACAAGCTTTTGTATTTCACAGTCATGGATTTTTGCTGCTTGTTATCAGAGCCATTTTTTTTATCTCATTTTTGTTGTAAAAGTTTTGCCCTGCAAGACACTTTTTTCAGTTGAAGGAATAAGTGAAAGGTCCTGACTGTATCCTGGATATTCTAAAATTTCCCATTTGAGTAGTGCTTTGCTTTGAAAGGCTGTATGAAGACAGGCACACAAGATTTTGATTCTCATCTGATGGGATTCTGAATTAACTCAAACATTTCAAAGTTGTGCTGCTTTAACCTGGCTCACCATAAAAATAACCCTGTGGGAAAAGTGAAACATTCAAGGTTATAGTCCATGTTGCCATCAGACTCACAATAACATTTCTTTTTCTGCTATCAGTGAAGTTTCTCTACTTTTCAAAAGCGCTTCGTAGACCTTCTGCTATATATATATATATTTCATAATTTAACTTATATTTTTTAAATGTACCAAAGTTATTTAATTAAAAATTTTTTGTTAGACTAATATTCACTCTTATAATTCCATAATTTTGGTGCTATAATTTTCAGGAAGCACTTGAAAACTGTTTTACTCTTTGTAAGTAATTTAAATACGTTTCTAGTAGCTTCAATTTTTAAAAGAAAAGTTCATTATGCAGAGATGGTTTCTTATTTTTCATCGTAATCTTTAATTGTTCATATAATTCAAGAGCTGAGAGGATGAAAGTTCTCTGTGACATTATAATGAGTTCTAGTAAATTAGTCTAAGTTATAATGAATGCTTAAAAAAATGTATCTGCATAAAAACATCAATTTATATAATGTTTAAATATTCTATTTTAGATCATATTTTGAACAAAAGAAAGTGTTCCTAAAAGTCTTGCAGGTATTTATTTTATTTTGAAATGTGATTATTGATATGTTCATGATAAGATTTATATTAATTTGAAATTTAAGAAAACTTAAAACATATAAAGTTTTATAAAAAAAAAAAAAGTTTAATCATTGAAACATTAAGGCTTTGAAAATATTAAAATTATTGCAATTATATTTTTTCTATTAAAAATGTTTGATATACCTAAAGAGTAAATTTTTAGTTATCAAAAATACTTTTTTAACTTGTAGTGTCATTGTTAAGTAATTATAAAATAAATATAATCAAAGATAAAATAGATTTTTCGATACTAAGAAATAAACTTACATTTATTATAAATTTTTTTAGCAATGATGCTGCATATTTAAACAGAACAAAGTAATTTTAACATTGAATTTTAATTTATTTTGATCATGAAATTTACTTGCTTTTAAACTTTTTATAAGTTATAAAGTCACGTTGTTCTTGTGGGGAGGAAAAGATAATTTCATGAACCTTAAGTATTTAAAAATTTTATAAATTTTTCCACTTTGATGAATATTTCCTTATTTCTTTATGAATTAAAAAGTATTACTTACATGCAGGGTTGGAAAAAAAACGAATTTTTTGGTATAAAACTATGTTTTTTAAAACTCCGCTTACCTTGCAAATAAGCATTTAATATCTAAATATCTTTTTAGTAGTGCATACATGTAAAAGTTTACCTCCTTAATAGTTAGTATACACAAAAATGTTGTAATTCTACATTAATGTCATTTAGCAGCATATGCTTTGTAGCAGTACTATTAATAAATTGTTATAAAATATTCACACAACTTCTCAGAAAATTCACACCAACTCTTAAATAAATTGTTATATAGATTTCAAAGTTGTCAACAACAAAAAAAATCAATAAATAAATAATTTTAAAAAATAAGAGGTAAATAAACTGTAAATTTTGTGTCATTGTATTAAATTTAGTTTATTTAAATTTGAGTTACTATTTGGGTGATTTAAATTTGAGTTAATAATTAACTCTAAACAATTGTATTGGTCATTTTTGTTTTTCTATTTTGTTTAGGTTCTTCTGATTTTTTTTTTTTTTTTTTTTTTTTTTTTTTTTTTTTTTTTNTTTTTTTTTTTTTTTTACCTTCTGAGTTTCTTTGACTGTTCTGAAAAAATAGGTTTCTTCTGAATAAAATCCAAACCCTGTTTGACATAAATGTTTTTGTGGAAAAACATTTCTGCCCTAAATATTTAAAAATTGTGGATATATGTTTATTTGAAATAATACGGATTACCTGTAGAAGTTAAAGTCAAAATTGTAAATATTTTTCATCCTTTTATATTTTTGTTACAATCAAACTGGAGAATTTATATAAATAATAGAACATTTAATTGCATAAAATATTTTTTTTAAATAAAAAACCATTTGGTTTAAATCAGTCTACCCTGATTATATCTTATGGGCAATTTTTCAAACAGAAATACAAGGCTATGGAGTTGAACTTAAGTAGCAAAATTGAGTCGGCTGTTTGTTAATGATTATTAAATAAATAAAAATAAAAAATTCAGGCATTTTTGAGACACATAATATTTTAAGCGTATTTGATAATTAATGTCTGAAAAGTTTAGAATAGTAGTGGTTTTGATATTTTGTAGGACTTAAAAACTCGTGTTGAATCTTTACAAAGAGCTGTTATGGATTCTAAAGCGTCCTATGCTGCATGCTTGCATAATCTAGAGATGATATCAAGTGAAATTCATGAAAGGAGAAAGCTAAACTTGCCACCTAGGGAACCTGGCGTCGGAGCTGAATGGGATGCCAAAGCTAATGCTGAAATTTGTACGTTAAATTTGTGATCACTATTCATTGAAAGTTTATTGAAATGACTAATAATACTATCTTTAATAAGAATTTTTTTTCTTCGAATTTTAATAATTTTTCAATTAGTTTCGTACATAAGTTATTAAAAAACAAACACATAACTTAAAAAAGTAATTCATATCTTCATTCTTTTATCATAGGAATGATAAAATTATTTTTATATTTCAATAATAAAAACAAAGATGGTAATTCACACATAAATTGCCATAAGTGAATATGTGTGCATGGCTTTGGAGAATTAATTATATATGAATAATAAAGACACTAATCTTGATTCATACACTATATAGCAGAAATATGCTGCACATGACTTTTGTTAGTGCAGCCAAGGTTACTAAACTTGTTTCACTCAAGTCGACCTGACTAATTCAGTTTATGAGTTACTAAAAAATAAACAAATAGCCTGAAAATAATTCGTATCTTAATATGTAAATGAATAATTATTATTTATTTTTAATAATATTAGAAAAACTATTGGAAGTAAGTGAACATAACTTTAGTACAGCTTTAATTACCAAGCTCAAACCATGGTTTCTAATGGTAAAAATGCATAATCTAAAATTAAATTGTAACTTTAGGATCCTGATCCATACACAAATCACCAGAAAGTTAGTGGACATAACTTGTTCGCGCTACCAAGATTATTCAACTTGTTTCACTTTAACCAAGATTTCCAAACTCTTTTAATTAATGAGTTATTAAAAAAATGTATACCTTAAAACGAATTCTTTACTCAGTGGGGGAATAATAAAATTATTGTATTTAAACAATAAAAAATCTGTCATGATTGCTTCATAAAATTGCATCATGTTCATATAAAAAGTGCAATTACTTATATAGCATGTTTGCTTAGTTTTTAACTTTAGAATTGAAATACCTCTTTTTAATTAATATGTTTTAATTAATGTGTTCCTAATTTTAATTTAACTGTGTTTTAAATTTTCTTCTGGTGGAAATTTTTTGACTGATAAAATTTTTTTTTGCACTTCAAAAAATATTTGTATTTTTAGGCAAACAGTTTTTTGTGTTATTAAGTGTAATAATTTTATATGTTCAATTGTTTCAGCTATTCGTCCTCCTTTGTCAATGATAAAAGTTTGGGACTCGGAAAGCATATCTTCTGCTACCGAAACTGATGTAACTTCTGATAACGAGAATTTGTGTCAAGATTTGTCTTTGGAATCAAGTAAGAATTTTTTTTTTTTGCCAATAGTAACTTAGATCTTGATTCTATGTTAGCATATTTTTGAAAGATTAGATTATCGTGATACATACATAACTTAAAAAGTAATTAAATAAAAAGAAAATATGCACCTAGAATTAGTAGTTTATTATGCTGTTTCAGAGATTGAAAATGAAAATTTAAGTGTTACATTTATTACTACTAAATATTATACACTCTCAGTTGATGAAATTAACTGAAAGTACATTGATAGTAAAATATGAGAGAACTGAGCTTCAGTCACCATACTTTTTTTCTAGTTTAAATCGTCCTTCTTTATCAAAGGCTTAGGTTTAATTTTTCTATTAACTGAGTTGTTAAAAATATCAGACCTAATTTTTATAGTTTAATTTTTTCTCTGTCTAGCTGTTGCCCACATGGATTAGCCTTTCAATAAAAACGACGTGATTCTTTCCTAGTCTTGTTCAAAAAAAAAAAATAATAATAATACTAATATCAATTTTTATCCTCAATTCATAAGACACCAATTGTTAGAAAATTGCTAATAAGTCTAGACTAGCAGGATCACCAATAATTTATTTTAAATTTTAATTGGATGTAATTGGAAATTGAGACAATTAGAAAAGTTTATCAATTTATTAAACTATGTTAATTATACATCTAAAGATAACTTAAATCTCTTCAAAATCAATACCAGTCTTGTAATCTTCTAAAAAAAATTTTCATATAAAAAGGAAAATAAAATTAAAGTGACGTTCCGCAGTGGACTGATCGTAAAGACACAGTAGAACACAAATGTCAAGCATCACTGGTTGCAGTCAGTAAGTGGGTGAGTGACCACTTTGATCAGCCTGCATAAGGACTGAGGGTGTGCAGCATCGATCCATGTTAAACTGTTCTACCGTAAAGTGCTGGGAGCCACCGCCTCTGCAGAGGATCAAAATCGCAATGGCATGTCTTTGGATCATCCTCGGGGTCGTTTCTCAGACCGTCGCTAATAGTCCATTATGCAGCTCAAGTGCAACGTAAATAAAGTACCTACCTTTCACTTAAAAATGCATATTTAAATGTTTATTTTCTTATAATTTTCCGTTTAAAATATAAAAGGTTTAGAGTTGTTCATCAATTAATCCTTTTTTTAGCTCTTTTTTTTCTCTTTTTTTTAAAAAAAAGAAAACTATACACAGAGACTGTCTTGCCTTGTTCGTTTGCCTTGAATTATTTTTCAAAAGTTTAAAATTTTTCTGTTATTTTGATAATGAGTGAGAACTAATTATATAGTGAATGATTTGATAGTGTGTGAGAACTATGTAATTATATAATGAGTGATTTGATAATGAGTGAGAACTAATTATAAAATATACACATGAAATAGTATAAGAGGGTAGTTTAAAAAATTGTGGATCAAATTCAGCTATTACATAATATTATATATTTTGATACATTTTAATGGAGGTAAGTGAGTGCCCTTTTTTATTCTTAGCAGGAAGCACCCTGCCCTTTTTCATTCTTAGAGAGAACTCTACATTTTTTAGGACTGTTTTTGTATGATTTTTAATGTCATTTTTGTAGAACATTTCGATGTCATTAACATCCTAGCCCTGATAATTATATATATATTTTTTTTGTATTGTATTCATCTATTAAACTGTATTTTTAAGGTTTGAAATGCTTTTTTTTTTTAAATTTAAATAAACTTCTTTTCAGGTTTGAAATTTACTCCAAATCTAAACAAACCACCTATGGATGTAAGTGAAGATGAAAAAGCTACAAGTGCCAACATCAGCCGGCCTGGTGATCTTCCCCTTCCACCTTCCAACATGAATGATACTCCGTCCACATCTACCGATGAAAAAATATGTGATTTGTTCGAAGACGTAGATCTGAATTCATAGCAAAATAGAAAGAATATAACTATCTGGTTTAGATTTTCATAATTGTATCGTTGATTTTAAATATTTTTATGATTTTATTTTGTTTTGTTTTTTTTCCCTCATTTTTATTGCATTTACCTCATTTTTCTTTTTTATTAAAGGAAACATTTTTCATTGAAGTTTTTCTGATTTAGTTATTCGTGTTCTCTTTGTTTTGAAAAATTAGTTTTATGTGATAACCTGCAATTCTTTTTTAAAAAATTGTTTGCTTAGATTTTAGTTTACTGTTGGTGATTGATAGATTTTAGAAGTTAAAAACAAAATAATTAAATTTACTCCTTTTGGTGGTTAAAATCAATATTTTTTTTCTATTATGTAAGCACTTCTGCTACATTTTTTTAATAGTTATGTAATTTTTTAATAACCATTAAAGTATGTGAATTTTGAGACTCTATTAATATAATATTAAATTATGTTGATAGCTCATTTGCATATATGTGTAGCGAATATTTGAAAATAGTCAAGTGAGAAAAAGATAGACTGGTGCTATGTGAATAAAGTAAAACAGTGACAAAAGAGTACAAATAATGGTGTGACATCGGTTCCATTATAAAGGACATTCTTTAGTATCAAAAAACAGAATGAAAGCGGGAAGCACAGAGATGTGGAGAAAAATTACAAACAAGCTACCACAATAAATAAGAGTGTTAAACCAATAAGGAAACAAGCCTAAAGAAATCAGTCTGCAATAATTATTCAATACTGCCCATCAGCCATTTGTTCAGGTTTCTGTGAATCATTTCATATTTTGAAAAACTTAACTATTTAGTTAATTATCTTTTATAGTATTCCATTCTATCCAAATGTTTGAAATTATATTTTCTTTTAATATTTACATACTTGGTTTTCACCCTGACACCGGACAAATCCTTTTTCTTTATTATTATGTTATTCTAGCTTGTTCCCCTTTATTATTGACTTTTTGTAACTTGTTTGAAATTTTCTTCTTCGTCTTTGTGTTTCCCTTTTTCATTCTGTGTTCTAACATGAAAAGAGGTTCTTCATTTTAGAACTGGAACCATAGTTTGACTGTTTTCATGGCATTATTTATGTTCTTTTTACATTGTTTACTTTTATTCAACTGAAATTAGCTTATAATTGGTATTAGTATTTTATGTCATAATTTTGAGCAGCACACAAAATTGTTGCAAAAAAATTAATTTATTTGAAATATGAATTGCATCTATACTTTTAATTGTATCGATATTTTTTAAAACTATTTGACTCGTTATAAATGCCTTCCAAAATATTTAATGAGCTTTTATTATTTAATGAAGTGATATTTAATTATTTTGGTTTTTTGTTTAAATGAGTAATTTTATATGCAAAGTTTTTATCAAATTTGATAAAATGTAAAGAACAACTTTGAATTTGTTCTGTAATACCAAAATATATTGTTAAATTAATGGTTGTATTTAAAAGTTTTGTTGTCTTTTTATTTTTAATGTATAAGATATAACTTGCTACTGTAAATTTCATCTTTATTTCATATAGGTTCTGTTAATGTGCAATAATTAATTGAAAAGAATTTTTCAAATATTTTTAATAGATTATACAGGTGCTGGTTACCTATTTCAAATGTTGAAACCAAAAGTACTTTCTTGTGATTTACTTTTGCCTGTTCTTTGTTTGTATTGTCATATACTATATTATGTTGCTCTACTATTTGCCATATGCCTATTGCCCAATAATCTGATACAGTTAGTAGCAAAATATTTATGTGAACTTCAAATTGCATATAATTTTTTAATGCTATCTTTTGTATTTGATTGTAAAATAATTTTCTTTAAGTTTTTTTGAGAAAAAAAAGAAAAAAAACCTTAACATGAGCAAAAATAGTTCTCACAAGAAAAAACAAAGCAATGAATTGGAAAAAAAAATCTCGTTTTTTTTTTCCTCCCTATAATTTTGAAGGGTACTACTGTTTCAAAGAATGCTTTCTAAATGATTAATTTACGTCATGTGCATTTAAAATTTTGTATCACGGAAAGAAAAAGAGTTGAAAAGTAGTAACCAAAATTGGTTTATATCTTTTAGTTCTAAATTTAGTAACTTTAAAAAAAAAAAAAAAACATTATTTTTTTAAAAATATTAATTTTAGTAACTGTGTTTGTTTTATAGAAAATAGTATTAAATTGATGGCATAGTAATCTTTTAATATAGTTATTTTCTGCAAAGCATTTTTTCTGTTATTTGAATAGTACGTCAACTTTACTTTTTAAAGAAATGGAGCTATCTCTCTCACAAGTTCATACAAGTCATTCTTGTCTTATTTTAAAACTAGTACACCTCCAGCTTTATTCTGTTGAACAGAGGCACCACCAATTAGGCAAATATAAAAGCCTATTAAGTCAATGTATTTTTAGTCTTTTTACCCCGAAATGATCTAAGAGTTTTTGCCCACTATTTAAACAATGACTCTTATATCTTTAATATCAATTTTCTTAATTCGCATTTCTGTCGTACCTTACATAATAAGTTGAATAACTCAATTGACGGTATATCTATTTGTATAAAGTTTGACTGATACATTAAAAAATTCATGCATTTTTTAATAATTAAAATTTTTTTACGGCATACATTAAATTGGTAATGCTCAATGTGTTAAAAATACATTATGTGTAAAAAATGTAGTTGTATAAAACTATCATTATTGTTAATTTTAAGTGTCTGAAGAAATAGTGATCAAAATTTTCTCTCAACTTTGAATTTTGATTCCCCCCCCTTGACCTCAATAACTCTACAGCTTGCTAATTGATTTAATGAGAGCTTCCAAGTGTAATTTATTGAAATGTGTTGTTTGGAGATTTTAAGAAAATAGCCCTTGCAAAATTGATCAATATTAAGTAATTCAATCTTATATTAAGGTGTTCATTTACTTTCTTTTTTTTTTAAATTGAATTGACTTTTAAGTTATATAATTTTAAGGTGTGTTCCAAAAGTCATAGAATATATATATTTTTAAAAATTTAAGTTTCCATGACTATCTAAAAAATTTTTTTCAGTGAATCTCCTAGATCTATGCATACCCATGAAAAAAAACATCCTTTAATCAGGTGTCTGTCCAGGCCGAGTTTACTACCCTTCAGCGGTACCTTCGCAAATTAAACTTAAGAAAAACTAATACTTTCCACAAAATACTTTTTCTTAAAATTTTATTTTTATATCCCTTAAGAAATGATAAATCCATATTTTGACCATATTTTTGTGTTGATTTTTTAATATTTTTAATTTTTCACAAATTATGTCAAAATTTTCACAAAATAGGTACCTCTCAGAAAAACCTAGACAGACCCCTGTTAAGGCTATTGCTGTTTAACCAGCATCAATGACATAAAAACGGCATTTTTTAGTGTATTCTTGTTCCTCGGAGCAAAAAGAAATGGACTTGAGCTGGGTCTTTGCCCCAGAGTGCTTATGCTAGGATAAATTGGCTAAAGTGCAGAAGATTGTTTCAGGCAACTGTCTTTAATGCAAAAGCTTTGGAGAAAAAAATTGTCCTGGGCTAGGTCTTTACTGTAGACTGGCAATGGCATGGTTGACCATGAAGCGCTGAGGATTGTGTCAGGCAAATAGTCATGATGCAGAAGCCAGATCGCAGCAATATGTTTAAACTTTCAGATGATCCTTTTCCCAAACATTTTCAGAATAGCCTCATAGTATTAATGGCGTATCCTTGAAGAAAAACTATGTACCACGCCATTTGTGTTAGAGAAAAGACAATCAGCATTTTTTTTTTTTTTTACTTTGGAGTTGTTCACCCATGACACGGTTTTAAAGAAATTCAGTGCGCCATTCGCAATTTAACACTTTGTTTCTGGGTCGTACTTAAATGTCCGTGATTCGTCATTGCCTTTTTTTGCTGATTATTGTGCAGAACTTGATCACTCAATATTGGTTGAAAGTACCTATCATTACTTGTTCTTAGAACAGGGAGCATAATATACCTAAGTACATTATAACACATAGATTTCATCTCATTTAACTTTAATAGTCAGAACATAGTGAGGCACTACAATATATATATATACATTTAAATATGTATACATTTCATGAGTTATGGGACACATCTTGTATTTAACATTAAAAAAGAAAGTGATGAGATTGCGAGTGAAATTTTGTATTTAGGAGACGTGTATTTCTAGTAGATAAATTGTGATAATTAGTAAAAAATGTTTAGAATGTCAATAAAAGAGCTCAATTAATTCAATTCTATGGATAATTAACTGTGTAAAGCTAAACACAGATGGCATCAGTGGAGTAAAGAAAAAAATTGTTTATTTTCATTCTAAAACCTAAGAATTTATACCGTCGTTAAAATTTTTTACGCCTCATAAATATTTCTCGCAGAGCTTTTTCCTTTCAGATTATTGTGTTCTTGACTTTTTTAATGTTTAAAATGATAACACAAAATAATTCCCATAAAGAGATGATTTGATGTTAAAGCAGATAAATAGCCGAGATATGTTATATCACTCACAAGATAGTTACCTAATCATTTTATGCGTTGATTGTTTCTAATATTTTTAGTCTCGAAAGATTTGATGTTGAAACAAATGAATTGTCAAAATGAGTGATAACACTCACCAGATAGTAACTTAATCATTTTACTCATTGATTCTTTTTAGTATTTTTAATTCAATTTTGTGTAAGAGAAAATGCGATATAGCCATAATTTGACCGAAGAGAAATTCGCTATAGCCATAACTGGCTCTTGCGCCAATAACTAATAACTAACTTGTCGTAAGAGAATATTTGATGATGAAATAAGTGAATGGTTAAAATAAGTGATACAACAAGATAGCAACTCATTCATTTAATGATTGCTTCTAATAATTTTAGCCCAATTTTAATTTTGAGCAATAATTTGATGTTGAAACAAACAGATAGCCGAAATGAGCAATATCATTCACAAGATAGGACTTGTTAATTTTATGTATTGATTGTTTTTAATATTTGTTTAGATCAGTTTTAACGTTAGGGTCTGATTAAATATATGTGAAACTTGAGAAAATTATACTTGAATGGTTTTACCGGATGAAAACTTTCCTACTTTTAATAATAAAACTTTCGTGAATATCAAGCCTGATCACAGTTAGCAAACATGATATTGGTGGAGGGATACAGCCGAAACTTTTTAAGGTCTGTTCCAGTTTTAGAAAGCTTGTTTAGACTCAATTAACTATTCATATTACATTAGCAAAAAGCCGCTATTTTGTATCAAGACATTTTCTGTTGTATTGTTAATGCTGCATGTTTAAAAATCAAATATTAACTGTCAAAACTCATAGACAAATTGGTATATAAGTTTCAAAAACTATTTCTCTATTGAATTTAAGTAAAAAATAAAATTAAAAAATACCTAGTTTGCTTTACAAGAAAGTAATCCTGAAATGATTTTGGGGTCGATAAATATTTTAGTGATTAGTAATTGTCACAACAGTTGTGTTATTAAATTTTTACGAAATTTAATTGATATTCTCATAAAAGAAAAGATAGCATGCTAAAACAAAATTTAGTTCTTTCAATGTTTTGTTAATTTATAGTGCAAATCAATTGTAA